TGTTTTGGACCGATTACGCTTCTATCTTTTGATAGGAATTTAATGTGTACACTGTCGTTTATAAAGTTAGGTGTTCCTGGTCTGTTTCTTCGTTGCCTGGACTAAGTATATTAATTTTTATATTATTGAAATTGATAGCATATTTTTAGAATAAGTATAAAGTTTTTCTGTATGGAAATTGTTGAATACCTCTTCTAACTCAATATATTTTGCATTCTGTTTCAGAAATGTTTTCATCTAATGCTTCATGGATCAAGTGAAGCAGATACTTATGAAAGTATTATTTGATGTACAAATATAAGTAGTAGATATAAGTTTTACATACTTGAAATTCATCAAGATGACAAGTGAAAAACTCAACCCATGTGTTGATACTAATCAGACGCTTGGAATAGATCAAGCTTGCTTCAGTATTCTAAATTTATATGATAAAGTAGTTAATTTTTATTCTGTAGCACATGAAGCTTATTGGGTATGCATACATATTTTCTCAGAAGATTTATATTCTTTCAGTTGTATATATATTCAAAATTATTTATAGGGTATCGGTACACTACAAGCTACATTACAACCATTAACCAACAGGAGTTTGGTAATAAATACAAAACACCCATTGCATATATATTATGGAGTCGATGTACCTAAAAAAGAAGTTGAATATCAATATTGCCAGTTAGTATCATTTTATTAGATATCACTTTAATATATAAAATGTTTTTGTACATGTTACATTTGAATAACTATAACAACTTTTGAAAACACTTTTATTATTTTACATTTAGTGATATAAGTTATTTATTAATAATATCATGTTTCAGTGAAACATACAATTTCAAAGAACATGGTAGTTATGGATGGAATATATCAGAAGCAAATTTATGTTCTCATATTTATGTCATACGTGAACCATCAGAAAATTATCTTCGTAAGTTATATATTGTAATACTGTAACAGAGTGCAGATTAATGAATGCTGATCTACAATTTAATTAATTTTCCAGCAATTGTTGCAGCACTTATGATATACATTTTATTTGCAATTCTCTGGGGAGTGTCAGATGTTATTATACGATTGATAAGAGGAAAACTGTCACCTGATAATATACATGACATAAGTGTAAGTAGTTTAATTAATTATCATAATGTGTTTATTTACTCAACTGTATTTCAGGATTTGGATAGGCTTCAAGATACAGAAAGCGTAACACAACCAGTGATTAGGACAACTAGAATATATTCAGTGGATACATTTAGAGGGTAATTCTTGTACAAATCTTATATGTGTTTTCCATTCAATTATAATGTTAAGCATACTTTTGCAGTATTGCTATACTATTGATGATATTTGTCAATAATGGTGGGGGCCAATACGTCTGGTTTAATCATAGCGCTTGGTATGGACTTACAATAGCAGACTTAGTACTTCCTTGGTAAGTTACTTGCAAACAATGATAAAAAAAACTATTAAATCATAAAAACCGATTAATATGTCAGCTGTCCATTATTTTGATACTGTTAGCTATATATTATATTTAATATCTTATACTTAACACATCAATAAATTTGTAGGTTTGCATGGATCATGGGTCTGACTATAACGATATCAAAGCGTGCAGAACTTCGTGTTACGACTTCACGTATAAAAATAACTTTACGTTGTCTTCAGCGATCCTTAATATTAATACTTCTTGGATTAATGTTAAACTCCATACACAGTAAATCCTTAAATGATCTTCGTTTTCCTGGTGTCCTTCAGTTACTGGCTATATCATACTTTGTATGTGCCACACTGGAAACAATCTTCATGAAACCTCATACACAGGTTTATATACGATTATTTTTGTCTTGCACAATTCTTACATATATACGAGATATATATACAAAAAACTTATTAGGATTCCTTACTCCAGTTTGGTCAATTTGCATCGTATCGTGATATATTAGACAGTTGGCCGCAGTGGCTGATTATGATAGGCATTTTGACCGCTCACACTTTAATTACTTTCCTTTTGCCTATACCAAACTGTCGAAGAGGTTACTTGGGACCCGGAGGACCATTGGATCATCGTGGGGACTACATAAACTGTACTGCAGGTGCGGCTGGCTATATAGACAGATTGATATTTGGAAGTCATATGTATAATAAGACGAAAGATTCTGTCTATGGTACTATTTTACCATATGATCCTGAAGGTACGCTTCTCAAATTCTATTTTAAATATAAAGATATTTCTGAATGTTAATCATTACAATTTAATTTCAGGACTAATGAATACCATATCAGCTATATTAATTGTCTACTTGGGTGTTCATGCTGGCAAAATTCTGTTACTTTATTATCAATGGAATTCCAGAGTGATTAGATGGTTACTATGGGCAGCCTTTACAGTAAGCAACTTTTCGTTAACTTCAAATGATAAAATATGAAGAAATAAATAAAATCTAGTTCTTTTTGCGTAAACACTATGTTAAAAAATTAGACTTTGAGATATCGGTTTTGAATTCATTTATGAAACTAGAATACTTAAATACATTTCAGGGTATTGTTGCTGGACTTTTGTGCAACTTCCAAACTCAAGAAGGAGTCATTCCAGTTAGTAAAAAAATGATGACATTATCGTTTGTTCTAACTTGTTCTAGTTTAGCTTTCTTATTATATGCGATTCTATATTTTGTTATTGATTACCGCCAATTATGGAGTGGAGCTCCTTTTATATATTCTGGTAAGCATATCCATTTAAAAAAAGGATGTGATTATAAATCAATCTACATGATTTATATTACAGGAACAAACCCCATTTTCCTTTATGTGGGTCATATATTAACAAAAAACTTGTTCCCATGGGCATGGCATATTGCTCATCCCACGCACGCAATGCTTTTAGCTGTTAACTTATGGACAACAACATTATGGGGAATAATTGGCTACTTACTTTATCGAAAAAATATCATCATAACTGTATGAGAAGTATACAATGTATCAATATGGTATTACACATTTATGACTGCCTACGTCTCGTAATATGAGCGCTATTTTTATTACTTTTACATACTCACATTTGTGTAACAATCAAAGACCAGTGTTTTTAACCAAAAGGTTGAAAAGTGCGCAAAGAAAAGAAACCATTGTATAGGACGGATCTTAACATTAATTAACCAAAAATAAATTAGCAAGTAATGATTTTATCTGAAATAATTATTTAAAATGTTATATTTTATTTTTATAAATACAATATAAATATCTTCAATTTGTGTTTAATGACTGTATAACTGTTCATTAAATAGTACTACATTTCCTTAATGAAGAAAATAATAGATAAATTATTAACATACTCATAGAAATATCAATTCAGCATGGACAGATCGTTTCACTTAAATATCCCGATCTTTTGGTTCTTTGTACGGTAACTCCAAAATTCGAAAGATGTCTTCTTCGGATGTTATTTCTTCTGCCTCTCCTGGTACTCCTACAATAAAAGCAACGTATGTGCATGTACACAGCAATTTTCTCAAAAAAACTGTTCATAATGATAACGAATAGTGTTTTTATATATTTGATGTAGATCATTGAAGATACTGTTAGGATTACATCTTGAAAGCTAAGAAAGTAATGTACACCTTCATTTATATTAAACAGTTCTTTTAATATTGATTTATCTTACCTTCAGGAGTAAGACGTCGCAATGTATATTCGTTTAAAGTATATTTTTTTTCCAAAGCATGAGCTCTCATATTTTTATTGAAAAGATCACTTCCAGTGAAATAAAGTACAGCACAATAATACTGATCATATGGTGCTAGCCTAATGTCAAGTCTTCTACATAACATGTGATCATTTGGAACTTGACAGACACCCTATAAAAAAATGATTTCAACATTCAATTACATTATAATTAATTTTCATATTATGAAAAATTACTACTGTTTTATATGTATTTTGAGGAAAGTAATTTTAATTTCGTTTACAAATGGAATTACTTTACAAATATTTAACGTACCATAAATTTAGTTGGTCCAAGGGATATTGTATCAACAATAAAATTTTTCTTCTGTAAACATTCAACAACATTCTTCAAGAGTGAAACTTTTTTTTTTGAGTCCTTATCTTTGGAAGTATATGTTGGATGTGTTAATAAAACATCAATATCTCCACTTTCAGCTTTACCACGTCTGTAACTTCCACAGACTGTTAGAATATACCCCTTGTCCAGTTTCATGATAGCATCTTTCATAATTTTTTCACTCTGCTGTATCTCTTCTCTAGGAATTCTTTCCTCGAAGTCTTTAAAGTATCTGAAAAAATAAATAATCGTAAAAATAATAAATATAATTTTATACATATTCTCTTTTTTTTGTTTCTTTTACTTTCATCTTACTTCAGACCAATTTTTTGATGATGATTCAGTTTATCTTGATGTTTCTTTAAATCATCTATGGTTTTGATACCAGAATCTACTAATTCTTTTGCTTTCGCAGGCCCAATACCAGATATTCTTGTTAACAAATTAATTGCAACATTGCTTTCATCTTTATTAATCTAAAGAAATATGAAACTTAGGAATTCATGTGACAATGCGTTATTGTCTATTTTGTTACTGAATAAATGAATTAATGTATATACATCTTCTAGTTTCCGTAGCTTCCCTGTATTAAGGAATTCATCTATTTTTTTTGCAATCTTTTCACCAATTCCTGGCAGCTTTCTTGCTGCTTTACCACTCTCCACTCTTTGAGGTAAGGCACTTAAAGTACTAGATGCTTTGCGGTATGCATTATACTTGTAAATATTTTTGCTGACATTTCGTTCATAATTTGCCAACTCTAGAATTATGTTTAAAGATCAAAGCTTTCAAAAATAAAAGATATTGGAGTACAAAAGAATTAGAAATTGAAAATGCTCGTAAAACGAATTTAGATATCTATCATATATTATGGTAACATAAAATAAATGTGATGACGAAAATAATATTAAAATCCAATACGTCTTAGGAAACTATCCAATTACAATGATTATGAAATTTGTAATGATGATACATAAAATATGTAACGACAACTTACCCATTAAAAAGTCACACAAATCTTGATTTGGATTCCCTGCATTGTCACTCGCTTTTCGTTTTCCCATTGTGCGTAATATAATTGTACAATATTTTTGTAATTTTAGATGCAGTTTATTGATCTTTACTAGTTAATTTACCTCAAACAATGCAAATACGTTTTCACCAGCCAGATACTCCGTAACTTTATGTCACATAAAGATCATCAAAACGTAATAGTTGCCGATTGGTCGGTTAGTAACTACGTTCTCTTTCAAAATTTCTGGCGCAATTCTTCTCTATTGATTATCTGTGTAATTCACCCAATATAGCTGTTACTAGAGAAATGATGTTTTTACTTGATTTTTTTCCAACATTTTAAATTCCAACATTTACAGGTAGTTTAATAATAAATAGAGACTAGAGTGATTATGAAGAAGAAACTGAAATACAATAATTAAGTCAAATTTCAACGTTTTATATTTATTTCAGACAAACAGATATATACAGTTTTACACGCAAATATAAATTATCTCTTCTAAAATGAAGTCTTGTTCAACAATTTGTTATTGTACATTAATTTATGGTGATAATCTCTTTCAATTTACTTTTTATGAAAGGAAACAATCGTTTCCTCTTCTTGTTCATTTCATAAGTACTGCACATACCACTTTAAAAAACATGATAAATAAAAAAGATGACCTTATAAGGATTCTATCTCATCTTTATACGTTTCATGCTATATATTTTGCACACACTAATGATAAATAAGTTTGGCATCGTTTCTTTTTTTATAAACTAATCCCTAATGAGATTTAAAATTCGCATACGAATAAAATGAATCTTTGAAAATTAAAAATGACCGTTAACGTTTGTATATGTAATTTAGGAACATTTTCTAAGAACCTAGCCACGTTTGATATTAATTTCTCGATACTCATTTTGAAACTTGACATAGATGGTAGCAGAATCACACTTATTGGACGGATCTTTGTACCTCAGTTCTAATGTCAAGTTATCATTGATATTAAAGATTTGAATTATATGCTATAAGTACGTATTGCATTAAATTGAAGACATACGAGTATAACCTGCATGATTTTTTAAACAGTAAATAGATATACAAATAAAAATGCTGAACACTAAAATGAACGCTCCAACATAAATGTAAATCCATAATTGTGGAAATCTCCCTGGTAACCATAAAATAGTGAATTCTACCGTTTTCTCTTGAGTATCTGAAAATGAAGAGATACTATTAATTTAGGAAATGTATAGAAATAAGTTCAACACGCTAATATAAATACATTATTTCTTTACCAATATAAGCTAAGCCATATCCTGTATGAGGTGTGCCCATTCTGTATGAACAGGTTGGTATTTCCACTTCATGAATGTCCCCTACATCCATTCGTAATTGATACAAAGGTGTTTCATAAGGAGGTAAAATCCAAATTTCACTCAATTGATCTGTTGCTGTGTCTAAACTGATATGCATTGCTTTATGTTCGTGCGCAGTAAAAATAACTTGAGGGGATAATTCTTTCAATACCTATTAATAGAAAATAATTATTACTAAAAATTATAAATGGGGCTGTAATTTTATGAATATCTCACATACATTTTGCACAAAAGTACCAGGCATGAATAGTAAAGGCATATGGCTGAGTACTACATTTGTTGTATTTCTTTCTGCATAATCATTAAGAAAGGCATCTTTCGGAGCTTCTGGCATCGTATGAGTTAATCTATTTACCTAGGATGGAAGGTAAACGTTCTTCAAGTTTACTAATGCAAGTTAAAGTATTTCATAAAAATTCTTTCCGTTTCCTTACCTTGAAAAATGTCACTGACTTATAGACTAAAGTGTCAGGCTGAGTATATGCAAAACTGAATCTGTTATTAATATTAAATGATACTGAATCTTCTTCTCCTCCAATATCATTATCACCAGGCAGATAAATTTTCTAAAAAGTAAAGTATACTTAAGTATAGCATAATAAAAACATTAATTAAAGATTCATAATAATTATAGTTCTACCATTATATGATCTGGTGTGTCAAATATAGAATCTAATCTTTTCTTATACTCTTTAAATTTTTCTGCACTGGCAATATGACCTTCATCCATGAGATCACCCAGAAATGCAACAACATGTGGCTGAGAATGATCCAAGGCTCTTGAAAATGTTTTTTTCAAGTACCTGGAAATAAGATACTGTGGAACAAAACCGAGGTGAATTTTTAAATTTTGTTGAAAGAATTAAAGCTTTTATCAACAAATTTATTAAGTCACTTCATGTGTCTTTCTGGCATTTCATGGAAATGAATCTATATTTTAAGTGAGTTTATTGATATCTAATGAGGTAATCATTAAAATCATCAAAGACTCATGAAATGCCCTATTAATTAACAAATTAATTACTATGCATACCTATCACTATCCCATTGTGCTACAGAAGCACCAAAATAATTTTCTGATTTATCACCCAGTATCTGGGGATCGGCAACAAGTAGTACTTTTACGCATTCTGAACACTCTCGCATAGACCACTTAAACTTTTGTATATCATAGACTAGAAACTCGTTATAAACTACAGTAGCCAATACAATAAGACCAACAACGACCGCTCTGTTCTTCAATCTACACAATAAAATTTATCAATAATAACAAAACAATAACGGTTGCATAGATGAAATCAGAATTATCAAAATTAAAGTACCAAAAATTATTCAAATATACAAAAATGTGAATTTTGACTTGTTCAAACTAACGTTATATGAATATAATAGTATTATGTTCACACATAATAATAAAAAAAAAACTATTCTATCATTAGTATTATTTATAATAGAAATAGAAACTATATACAACAGTAGTTGTACATGTTATGATGATAATTAATTAAGTTCACCTGTTTCGTCGTAACATAGTCATTACACTTAATGTCGTCCAACAGCATTAATAACATTAACGTCGAAATAGATCAGTGTATCATTTGCTGCATTGTTTGAAACATAAGGAACCTTTGTCATGATCTCGTTTTTCCATGATATATGATGATCTAATTAGCTAAAGGTTACATGATTATAAGAAACGCACCTCCTAAACTGCCATATCTGTAAGATGTTAAGACGACTCAAAGAAACGATACGTTAAAGAGATGACACATAGAATTCAAGTTTTACCTACTTCTGTTCAAAAAAGCGAAAGAGTTACACAGTGATTTCATTCGAATCATGCTTGGTTCGAAAAGAAGACGACATTCGTGAAACGCCGCAAATTCACTGTAGATGGAAGCATATAATATGTGAAATAACTTTTTAAGTAAACACAAATGAGATTTGAAAGATAAGTGGTTAAAATACTGTTATAAATAAGGAATCTACAACGAAAATTGAAACTACAATGTTCATAAACAAATATAACCATAAATATAGAAAGAATATATCAATTACGTATTTGTAACTTTTTTATATGCGACAACTTAAATATCTTACCTATAAATATATATATATATAACAGTTATTTCGGAAAATATTCACGTTTCATTAGTTATAATAATGAAAGTAATCTTTTTCAGCAAAATAAATTCAATATCGCATTTTAAATATTCGCGCTTTCAAATATTTTCGCGTGCAATGTCTTCTTCGTTTTTTACCCAATGACTCATAGAAACTAATGGGGCACGCTTCTACAGAAAGTCGCAATATCGATTTAAAGTAATGTTTCAAAATGACCCAATTTGAAAATACGCATATCAACGGTTCCAATAAGGATTTGGTAAAAGTATTTTGTAGCCTAAAAAGGGAAGGAGCTCGTCACGTCCGGTAAGCGTGCTTTCACGATCTAGTTACTTTTATGTGTATATACGTTATACGTATATATGCGTGTACAATATAATATACGCCGTGGAGAATTTCATGGCCGTATCGGTCGCGTTGCATCAGCGAGTGCAATGTTCATCTATTTTCGGGCATTTCGCAGTGGCGAATATCGTCCTACCGATTAGTGATTTTTAGTCGGTAAAATGGCCGAGCCGGAGCAGAGAAATAAAGAAAACTGTACTGGAGGAACGAAGGAAACGATGGTGAAGCAAGAAAAGCGTGAGAACACGTTGACGAATGGCGGGAAGGGATCGGGCGATGACGCGGACAGCCTCGAGGAAATGCCTCTTGATATAGGCGAACACTACCTCGTTCGCAGATCCGACGATTCTTGGCGTAAATATATTATTATCATGTGGTATTAATGGTCTTAATTACAAATATGCTCGGAATCGTGCGGAGTTATCATGAATTATTTAGCCGGATTTTCGCGACTCGTGCCTGTGTTTGTATTACCGGCTTTACACCGATAAACTGGATTTGTTTTCAAAACATTGTGATGTCATTCGCCGTTCGACCCAGTATCGCTTCAGAAATTAACCACTGTTAACGAAGATTCTTTAGCTATATTTACACGTTCATTATTATTATTATTTTTTATCACATTGTTCAATCGTAAGATTTGTTGGATGTCACATGGAAAATCGAGGACACGGAAATGTGTAATACGTGAAACTTAATTTCTGTTCAGTGTTTTATAGCATACGAATAACCGAAAAAGAATAATGAAATGGTTATGTGTTAAATTGTTTCAAATTGTTCATGATAATTTTCCATTCATTTTATCATGCACTAATTTTGTGGGTGTTCTTAAATTGCAATGAAAATTTTTAACAACGAATAATTGTGTTATTGTAGTAAGGAAATAAAATTAATGATATTTTTTTTTTATTGTTTTTCAGATCCTGCAGAGATAATACAAACCCGTTATAACGAAAGTGAAAGCCATTACGAATATTATGTACATTATGAAGGACACAACAGAAGGTTGGACGAATGGGTGCCGAGAGACAGAATCATGTCCAGCAGATTTGACATGAGTGATAGAAGCTGGAAGAGTGGAGATAGGAATTCTAGTACTGATTTATTAGCAGATTCTTCGGACCGTAAAATTACAAGAAACCAGAAAAGGAGGCATGATGAAATTAATCATATTCAGAAGGTATTTAATTCTTTATTATAAAAATATTTCCATGATTTATCTGAAATTTAAATTTATATGATTTTTCACTCAAACTACAATACAAGTTAATATCTTTTTATGTTAATACATAGACCACTTAAAACCTAATGGTTGTGTAATATGAAATGTTGGCTTTTCCGTGTTCATAAATGTTTGTACTCTTGTTGTTGTTATTCCTTTGCTTTTTATATAACCTCTTAAACAGTTTCATTGTTGGTGTAATTCAAACTTGGAAATAATGCTTTAGAAATTGCTCAAAATATAAATAAGGCATTTGGGGACTATACTGCGAATGAAAGAATAGTGCAGCATTGATTTGCAAAATTTCGTTTTTGTGGTGATTCTATTTTTAGGATTTTTAACATTCTTGTAAATTACAGACATATGCAGAAATGGATCCCACAACAGCAGCTTTAGAGAAAGAACATGAAGCTATAACAAAAGTCAAATACATTGATAAAATTCAAATTGGTAAGGATTAATCAACTTTCTTTCTGTGGTTAAGCTTCACACGTGAAAAGGGTCTTATTATTTTCAAAAGTTTACTTCTAGGAAAGTATGAGATAGACACTTGGTACTTCAGTCCATATCCAGAAGAATATGGTAAACAGCCTAAGTTGTGGATTTGTGAGTACTGTTTGAAGTATATGCGTTTGGAAAAAACTTACAGGTATCATATGGTAAGTGATAATTTATACTTTACAAACCATGTAGTATTTCCTTGAGATTATTGTATTCATAATTACAATTTATTTTAGAGTGAATGTACTCACAGGCAACCAGTTGGAAAAGAAATATATCGGAAAGGTACATTGAGCATTTGGGAGGTTGATGGCAGAGAGCATAAAATTTATTGTCAAAACCTGTGCTTGCTCGCCAAGTTATTTTTAGATCATAAGACTCTTTATTTTGATGTAGAACCGTTCCTTTTTTACATTCTTTGCGAAGTTGATAAACATGGGGCACATTTAGTTGGTTACTTTTCAAAGGTACACTTGTCTATTTACTATTACAATTGTATTTCATTTTCACTTCACACTTTACTATCTTTAGTTAATTTTTAGGAAAAAGAATCACCTGATGGGAACAATGTCGCTTGCATTCTTACTTTGCCACCGTTTCAAAGGCAAGGATACGGAAAACTCCTAATAGCTTTCAGCTATGAGTTGAGTAGATTAGAACAGACAGTTGGCAGCCCTGAAAAACCATTGAGCGACTTGGGAAAGTTATCATATAGAAGTTATTGGAGCTGGATTCTCTTGGAAATCCTTAGAGATTTTCGTGGTACTCTCAGTATCAAAGATTTAAGGTAATACTTTACAATTGATTAAAATGTTATAAAATATCAGAATACAATAGGAGACGTTAAAACTAAGCAATTTTTATCGATATATTTTATAGCCAGATGACGAGCATTTCACAGACAGATATCATATCAACACTGCAGAGCATGAATATGGTGAAATACTGGAAAGGGCAACACGTGATTTGCGTAACGCCAAAGTTAGTCGAGGAACACATTAAAAGTAGTCAGTATAAGAGACCACGGTTGACGGTGGACAGCAGCGCTCTCAGATGGGGCGCGCCACCTAGAAAGAACGTAAAACCTGGCAAGAAATAGCGGAAAGTAGATGGAAATTCGGTGGTCTTTACCGCTATGAGATTCACGATTTAAACACGTTTAACAAACACCCGACTCACAGCTGCACACGATAGTTTGGAAAGATGTTTCGGAGTTTGTTAAACATCTTCTAGATGGATTACAGTTTTCGCTAAACGCGAATTATACGTGCGAACCTTGGTGTCTACTTGGAAAGATAACACCTTGTGACCACGTTGGAAGTGTAGAAACGGCGAATAACATTTCAAGAGTCCTCTTATAGTTCTGCTTTTTCTTTTAGCAGCATGTTATGAGAGAACACCAAGAGGACACCGTGAAATACCATGTATTTGACTAATAACGAAAGGAATTACCTTCAGTCATATTTCAGAGAAATACAGATGTATTACACCTGAGAATTAACATCAATGATACCACGCAGTATTAGACCATATTAACGATTTTCTTGTGTAAATTCGTTAATAATAAACCACATATATTCACAATCACTGATTTCTTGCCCAAGTATGTATGATCTTTATTACGATTCTATGAACAATCAGTTCTATATTGAACGAAACATACTTATTTGGATCACTGGAGTATTTTATAATAATACAAAACTGAAATGTCTCGCAAGAATGTTGCAAACCGTGTCAAACCCTGGTTTATGGTTACAATTTTGCCACAGAAGACTTGTGCATTTCCTTTGCCAGTTGTACAGCATACTTAGCAGTGCCAGGAGCAGTGCATACTCCATATCCACCATGTCCATAATTGTGTACCACCTATAATAAAAATTTATTAATGACAATGCAATTTTATAACGAATTTAATAAGAACTTAAAAGAATTTAAAATTCTGACTAACGTTCGCTTTGGAGAGTCCATTTGTAATGTGCTCAGCTTCTACTCTGACGTTGTTCTCCCTATGCGGTCTCAAACCAACTTCCTCGCGTAAGACATTAGCATTTTTAAGGGCTGGAATTAATTTATTGCACCGTTCACGAATGGCCATTGACTCGTAAGAACATAGTTTCGTGTTCTCAGAATCAAAACTTCTGGAACCACCAAGAGTAACCACGCCGTTAAAGCCTGGTATAATGTAGGTGTCCAGTTCACCGTAAAAAAATGTTTTCATCCACGGTGCCTTTACCTAAGGAGATTGTCAAACGTTACACGTTGTTATTTCTGTATCTTTTTAAGCTCACAAGTTATTTGTTACAGTCAATTAATACGATGATCGTACTTTAATGACTTGGCCGCGTATAGAAACAAGTCGTCTATCATTACACAGTGATCTTGCACCAAAACCTGTACAGTTTATAATCAAATCCCAATCGGGAATAAGTTCTGTCAGAGAATCGAGTTTCTTTGTAATCAATTTAGTTCCACTTTCTTGTAATCTGAAACAGTTAAAATATGTAATTTTTATGTTAAAATCTAATGATAACTAACAAAAAAAAAAATGTATTACTTTGTACGAGCCCATGGTAGATATAGTTTGCAGTCAGTAAGGAGGGTCGTGAAAAACGATCCATACTTCCAACTACCTCCGACTAATTGAAATTCTTCTTCTGAGGCTTTTCTGTATGTTGGTACCAAGCTTTCCAACCATTGGCTCTATTTTCCCGAAAAAATTAACATATTGTTTTTGGTACATGTAGTTTCATGCAATTCCACAGAATTATAAATATTATAATTTACTTTGACGGTTTCCGGGGAAGAATTGGCAAACATATAACCGGAAATGCTAGTTACTCCAGCAAGCGAGGCCTCATGCGACTTCCGGATGTTATCATAATATTCGTACGAGTTTACAATCCATTCCCTGAAAGATTATAATTTGTTAATCGATTTCTTAAATAAAATGTAAATATTTAATAATTCTGTAGCATTTAATGAATACACTTTTGTTATGTACATTGAAAAAAGATAATATAATTTGATATTAAGAAAAATTTTCGTTATATTACTTCGTGATTCGTTCGGTAGGTCCAGAGTAGGATGATCCAACTCTGAATATTCCTGCGGCCACATGGCTAACCGTACAATTGAAATCGGACGCAAAAACTGCAATTTCAGCATTACGTAACTCGCGTTGTAACTGCAAAGCTGTTGTTAAGCCAACCACTCCACCTCCAACTATGGCTATCTTCATCTTCAGCTTTCGGAGAGCCTATAAATCTTTGGTACATGTTTATTTCGACCACATATAGTTATAACAGAATTTTATTTAAATCTCTGTTTCAACATGCTTGGAATAACTGATACGAGTATTTAATTGGAAATTATTTCATTTAAAACAAAAGAAAAAATTGAAGCTTGTTATATTCTCATTGATCAAGTAACAAAATTTTCATTATACCAATTAGAACTGGAAAAATAAAATTTTAAACAGGAAGTGTCAACGAAAGTTCAATAAAAATTTTCTTAGTTACCGAGTGCGGTACTTTAAAGTAAAAATCTGTTGAACCGTATGCTTTAACTGCTAATTATCAAAACACAAAGGCACTCAGTTCACGTATTCGACCATCTTACATCTTATGACTGCTTATCTTTTGTTGTGAGAGCAAGTTATTATATACATACATATATATGTATAGAAACATGTCGATACCCTATCACAGTATACGTGTACGAGCTTCGAAATAAAAAGATCATGATTATTAAAAGAATTATTGTTTATTTTTAATACAAATCGACACCTTTCAAAAAAGTTTTGAGAATTCAGATAATTAATGGGCAGTAATGTCTTCTCGATCGAAGACGAGAAATGTATCATTTCGCGTGAAGCAGGACATCCATGGAGTAAAACAGAAAAAACTATGCTAAACAATGATCGGCCGAGATTATTTACAAGAAGAAATGTAAGAATTTCAACGAACTAGACACGATCAAGCTCAGCTTTAATATTTTGCCTTATTCATCGATTAATACGAATTTTGTACTAATCTATCCCCCGCGTATGTACATATTGATTTGCGAGCTTCATTGAGAAAAGAAATTTGAATAGAAATATGAAAACAAAACGAGGAGAAAGTAATTGCATTAAGACCCATTTCTAAATTACGCCTAAACTTGAAGACAGTTCGTGGTAAACTACAAAAGTAAAATATACAATGATAGATTCGCGCTTTTTGCGTGTACCATACATCTTTAACAATGGTAGTCGCTATTATTAACAAACGGTCTAAAAGGTCCGAGTCCCTCGTTGTAAATTACACCTCGTGTCACGCTTACAATTTCCATTGTACATGGTTCTTTCTCTCTTTCTTTCTTTCTCTCTTTTTCTCTTTCTCTCTCTCTCTCTCTCTCTCTCTCTTTTTTCTTTAATTTCTTCGTATCGAAAATATATGAAACGTAACATGAATTCGAGACTTGGACGCAATGGACAATTTTGTCGCGTGCGCGAACTTTTCACCTCTCGATGGTGATCATGAAGAGTGAAGCTATTTACAAAAAGCGAGAATGATGAGAATCTTTGTCGCTAATAATACATTGTTACCCCTAAATCTCAGGTTGAGTTACAATCACTTTATGATGCCTTTCTATCAAGGCCACCTTATTAATTCAAAGCCTTTAAATGATTTATGTTATTACCAGAGCCATGGCTTTAACATCTACCCTCTACCGTGGAAGTTGTTAGAGGCACAGTTACAGTAACGACACAAATTATTGATATAGGCTTCGTACCTTTTCTCTTCACAGAGAAACGAATTTGAATTGTCTGCTTAATAAATTTGATCTATATCCTTCTGGTGCTATAATCGTTCATAGTTATGGAACTAAACCCGTAGCTAGCGCAGTTTCTTAAATTTAACCCTTACCATAAAATTATACCCAAAAACTTAGTCAGAATTCTCACGATCTAAACTGCTAACAAAGTATTTTATGCTATATAGTAAATTGCCCATTTTAAATAGTGTCATATTTATGAAATTACACTAGCTGAGGGTTAGCACCAGAAGACGGATGTAAAAAAACACGTAACACTAGTGTTGTCCACCCATGTCCACGGGAGCCCTTGAATGATTGTACCACCCTTTACACGCTCTATTGCATTTACGTAGGATTCAATATGCCTCTCAATAATTCGTGTTGTTACTAAGATAAATTATCAGCTAATCAATATCTGTTGTAAAAACTACTAGATACGTGACCTTAGTAACAGCACAAATTAGTGAGACGCTCGTAGTCTTAGTATAGTATAATAGGCAACGGGCCCCAAAATTTCCATTGAACAGTACTACCTATGCTTTACTACAAGGTTGTATCGTATAATTCAGAGGGGGAGGAGGAACTAGAAGAGGCAAGGGTGTGGGCGGTGGAGGAGCTTGAACAGCATTGGAGACCGTAGAAGACGTAGATTGAGCTTCACTTGGACGATTGATAGAATTGTAAGCAGAAAGGTAACTTGGCCATAGATGCGGGGGTGGAGGTGATCCTGGCGGCGGCGGTGGTGGAGAGCGGTCATCTAATTCGTCTGAGTCATCCATCATCATCGCCGTTAAAGGAGTGACGCGAGGCTTCTTCAGCTTTATAATTTTCACCTGAAAAATCGATCGGAACCATTAACATCTAAACTCTCCGATTATAATGTTTGCGTACAATAAAGACTAACCTTCACTTTTTTCTTGGTCTTAGGTGGCCGACTTCTCTTTTCCTGTTTTCGACTTTTCCTGGAGCTGGATCTTCGAACCTCACGGACCCCGTCTCGAGTAATCACAGCTGTAGGGGGTGGAGGAGAAGGCATGTCCCCCTCACCGCCGCTAGGACTTGTACCTTCTCCCGGTTTAATTCCATCCGCAAATTGAACAGATTTCTTATTCTTTTGTCTCCTCATACTTAGCTTTAACGACTTCGCCTTCGTCTTAACTTGAACCTTTAACTTGCTTGACTTATTGTCACCTGTTTCCTCTCTGTTGGATTCATGAGTTCTATCTGTGTCCACCCCTTCTCTCTCTGTATTGTCATCGCTCTCGTTTTCAGGAGTAGATAAATCATCCAGGTTGCCATTAGGGACTAAAGATCTCCTAGAGTAAATAAACGAGTGATATAATATAAAACAATTGTTTTGATTTTTATGGTAGAAGTACAACGCTTACCTGAAACCTGGAGCAACTAAGATTCCTTTTAAAGGTGGCGGTGGTAACTCTGACCACTCTTTGGACTCTGTGTCAATATGGACTTTGCTCGCTTCGGAGGTAGTCGCTATAACTGCCTCCTCCATTTCACTACGCCGATTACTTATTCTTGAGGATGATTTTTCATCGTCTTCCTCGTCTTCTTCCTCGTCTTCTTCAGGTTCCTCTTCATCCTCCTCGTCATCCTCTACTTCAGCTTCCTCCTCTTCTTCCTCTTCTTCATCGTCATCAGCAACTGCGTCTTCCTCTTCCGTTGCAGTAGATGGTACCGCAGACGACGTGCCTTCTTCCTTTTCAGGAATTACCGGAGCAGACTGCTCTTCTGTCTCAACTTGCTCATCGCTTTCCCGTAGAGCCTTTAGAACTGCAGGATCCAGACTCGAAGGTTTTTGCTGACCACTGTCAGACTGACGCGAGTTATTCTTCTCAAGCATCCGAAGAGCGCGTCGGTTGATCCTCTCTATTCGCCTTCGTTCCTTTTCCTTTCTTCTCATCTCTCTTAATCGTTTGCGTTCCTCCCTTTCCTTGCGTCGAGTTTCCAATATAACCTCATAATTGTATACCGGTTGAACTGGTGTTTCTAAATTTATGAAATTATTATCAGTTTTTAGAGACAATACACTCTACAGATAGTACCAGGTAACATTTTGAGTAAAAAAGGTTCATATACTTACTTGGCGCTGCCACTTCCGTTCTCGGGAACGTTGTCGGCGTGACCGGAAGTGGAACCGGTCCAGGGACTGGTACAGGAACAGAAAGCGGCAGTGCGACCGGAGACAGTGTAGGCACAGGTGTGGATGAACTTATAGCGGGTACAGGTACTGGCATGGGAACAGGAACTGGAACAGGTACGGATATAGAGGTTGAAGGAACTGGAGAGGGCTGTGGAACTGTTGCGGAGTATATCATCCCTGTCGGCTGCTCCACTGACGCGGGCTGTCCGCCACTCCAATCTAATGATGTAGGTACTACTTGGAGAACATTACCTACACGCACCACCTGACTGGAACCTCTCACAATAGGGGCTGCTGGCGAACTTGTCGGTTCCCTGTGTGCTGGCGGGACTCCATTAAAGTCTGCCGGTACAACTTGTAATACGTTGCCCACCTATGCAGTTTATTTAGAGTGTAAAAGTGTATTACCCAATAAACTATGTATTTTTTTATAAAAATAATTTAGATCATGTACTTGTAACACCGTAGGTTGTTGACGATATAGCATCTGTTGCTGTTGCTGAGGCGAGGATGGATAGCATACGTTAGAATTGAAGTTATCAGGATAATCTGTAGATACTCCTGCGCTATCCTGTTGTTTTTTAATCCCTAGCTCAAGTTCTAACCTACAATACAAACATCAAGGTATAATACATGTACAAAATGGAATACGTACAGTATTTGCTCCCATATTCCTATAGACAGATTAGGGGTGATACAGGTTTGGGAAGCAATGGAAAGGAAGGGTTCAAATACCAAGCTTGCCAACACAGTCCAATGCGGATTGTATTACCTATCGTCGAGAGATAAACGTTTTGGAGAACTCGTAGCTGAGTCGTCAATGCACGGAGGGTAAGTTAAATTATTCTCGCTATAATAGTACTCGTTTCCCACTTCGTTTTCATTATGGTACTGGAAACCAGCCGCGACTGTTTCCATATTGTCGCCGATGTGCATATCCGAGTCTAATACAGTTGAGTCTCTAGCCAGCCCAGAAACGGACTGAACGATCGTTTCAATGCGTCTACCCCTCTCGCTGCAATTATCTAGCTTTCTATTACTGTGCTCATCCTTCCTTTCCCTTGAGCTTTCGCCGACTCTGCTTCGTCCCACAGAGGGTGATCTGGATTGACAGTAAGACGGCTTACTGACTGTCCAACGCGAGCAACAATCAGAGATATCAACAGTCATTTAATTATTTACCTAGAGGAGTGTAACCGTTCCATCATTCTTAAGCTATGGTCCGGACTTCTCAGCCTGGATTGCGATGTCGACCTGGCCCTTGACCGTGAACCTGATCTGGATCTGGATCGCGACCTTGATCGCATTGACCTTGACCTTGACGCTGATCGAGAACGCGATCGTGTTCTCGACCTCGATCTAGATCTAGATCTCGATCTTGATCTTGATCTGGATCTTGACCTGGACCATGATCTGGATCGCGATCTCGATCCTCGTCGGAAACGATCATGAGAGGCTCTAGGTGAAGGACGCCTTAGTCGAGGGGATGAACGGCCTCGTGCAGATGGCGATTTTTCAGGTCTTCGAGAGTGGCTGTGTCTGTCTAGATCCACTAATTCTCTGTCTTTTTCCCACTGTCTGTCTCTTCTCGAAGCAGATCGACTCCTTCTGTTGAAAAAAATAGAAAAGTTTAGTAGGTATCCTTAGTCATGAAATAGAACAACTTGAACTCACCTTTGTGTGAATTTTGAAGTAGGACGAAGGGGACCTTCCATGATGTCTCTTTCAATACTATCATCTCTGTAGTAACCTTTTTCTTCATAATCAAGATCCAAATCTTGACCATTAGGATAAGAGTCCAATGATTCATTTCCATCTCGTGGAATATTTTCAGACTCGTAGGGCCAATAGGATCTGTCTGTTTCATCTCCTCGAAATCTACTCTCCCTATGCCGATCAGAATCTATATTTCTTTCCCTTAGAACTTCCATGGGATCATACGATTTTCCCTCCTTATCCCTGTCCCTTTCCAAGATATCGTACTTTCTTCTGTTCCAATCGTCGCGGTCTTTTGTAGAACCATATTTCTTGAAGTGGTCTAAAAATATGTAAGGTAAAATTAGCAAATACATCGATAAGCAGGATGAACTATCATCAAATTATCATTACACTCTGTGTAATGACAATTTGTTATTACACAAAGTACCTTTATTATACGGGGCAGTGTTGGGCTGAAGAGGACTTCTTGTAGATCTTTCTCTTCTATCATCTACTTTAGACCTACATCTTTCCTCATCGATTCTACTAATTCTCTTATCCCTATTTGAAAAGGATCCCTCTTTTCTCTTTGGACTCTTGCTTCTACTTCTACTCCAGCTACGACTGTGACTCTCACTGTGACTTCTTTCCCTCTCCCACGAGGTACGCGGGCTAACACTTCTTCGTCTCCTGCGACTACTCGATGGACTCGGCTTTCTTTTCTCTGAATAATCTTGTTTTGAACTTCTACTATCTCTTCTGTCACTTCTCTCTTTATCGTCAAACTTCTTATCTCTCTTTTCTTTACTACGATCGCTGACACGTTTCTCGCTCTCGTTTCTATTTGGACTTCTTTTTCTTTGTTCTCTGCCGGAGGATCTAACCTGAGCTTCAATGTCACTAATGTCTTTAATGCTGGATCTAGGTTTTTTAAGCTCTTCCTCTTTGCTACTTCCTTTCTCATTAGATTTGTATTCTTCGACATGATCATAATCGACTTTCGCGGTTCCCGGTGAGTCTGTTTTCGTTGTAATTATTGTTTTCACTGTTATTGATAAATCTTTGGAATCCACTTTAACTTCTGTGTCAGTAGTCTGCTCGGCAGGGATAATGTTACTCAGTGTCACATCAGCACTAGTTACCTTCTCGCATCCAATCTTGAATTCATTAGCTAAATCTTCGCAAGACACATTCTTCATGTCGTTCCGTACGGCATGAGATTCCCTAAGCTTCTTCTGAATTGTTAGAAGAGCAGCAGCATGTTGTATAGGATCATCCGAGATCAATTTATTTTTTGGACGCTCGTTGTTGCGACGAACTAGCAACTGTTTGGGAATCAGTTTCAAAGCAGCCTTTCCTTCTGTCGATTCTTCGCCTTTTGCGCTGCTGGACGATACCACCTCAGCATTCTTGGTATTTAGTTTACCACGAGATTCGTCAGATTCGTATTCAGCAAATATATCCATTCGTAAAGACTTGTAATTATTGCTGTCGGGGCATGGCTCATTAATTGGAAGCTCGGCGAGAGAAGTTTCAACCCCTTTCGGCAGGAATATCTTTTGGGGTGATTGATCCTCTGTCTGCATTCCTAAGATTTCTTCAAATTCCTCCTTCATCATAGAAAGTTTTGAATATTTCCCTTCCCGATACTTGATTTGTAAAGGTATATTGGATACGGAAATAGATTCTTCATCAGACATAATACAGCTCTCTTTTTTCAGCTTAGCTTGAATCAAATCATCCCTGAGATTTAAAGAACTAGAATTGTCATTTTGAAACTGCTCCATATCCTAAAACATGAAAAACCATGTAATGGAACATAATCTATAAAATATATACATCTATAAATCGTGAGTTAATAATATAAATACCTCAGATTTTTGAGATGGCGCTGGAGAACTAGGACTATATAATTCTACATTTTTATTAGTTAACTTTACATCTATTTCGAACATGTCTTTTAACTGTCCAACAGTATGTGGTTCTGCCATATTTGCTGGAAGAATTTGCTCGTTCACCTTATCAAAGAATATATCCCTTTGAGAACTATTTTCTAAACTTTTCGAGCGTGACTTGCTTCTCGTATCTTCTTCCGAAGTCCAAGATGTCTCCAATAAGTCCACATCTTGAGGCTTCCTGGAGAACAAATCAATAAAATTTGAATTCTTCGATGCAGACTTCCTTGACTGCTGATCAATGTCTTCATCTTTTATCTTAATTTTAGGTAAGATCGAATCACAACGCTCCAAAGACAGCTTATCATTTTTACGCTCAAATTTGTTTATGTTTGTCCATTCGACACATTCTTCTTCCCACATAACAGGAGCTTTGAGCTCTATTTTCTCCTCGACTTGGGATGCCATATCCCAACGACTTTTTTTGCTTCTTTTAACAGCAATTGCATCTTGTTTCAGAGATACATCTATGTCACTGTTGGCTGTACTCATTTCCTTGTGAATACTGTCAATTACAGACATACTCTCGTCCAGGTTTTCCTTCCGTTCTGCTTTTTCACGCAAGTAAGACTCCTTCTCTATATCCCATTCGTCCCTTTTCCGCTTATGTTTTTGTTCCATAAGCATCATAGCCTCTCTTTCACCCTCTTCCTGCTCCTCTTCCCATATTCTCATCGCAGAGAGTCTATCCTGCCGTTTTTTGCATTCCCTTAAAGTCTCTTTTTCTATGGCAATATATGTATCTGTTTTTTTATCGTAACGAACTTCTTTCTCCACTTTCTTCGTATTGCGCGCAGATCTCTTCTTATTGACAAGCAAATCCGACACTGCCTCTAGACTATCAACTTCCCATTCATCTGCCAACAGCTGCCTCTTGCTTACTTCTCTCTCAAGCTGAGTCAGAGACGGTACGTTCAAAGTATCAAATTCAGTCTCTCCCCACTTTTCCTTTTTCTGTTTTTCCAGCTTCTCCCAGTCAGCTAAAAATTCATTACTACTTTTTTTCTCCTTCTCTCTTTTCTTTTTTTTCTTTAGATCGATTTCTTCTTCGATACTTCCACCGGACTGTATTATTTCTTTACCGATATTCGAACATTTCTCTTTTAAGCGTTCATCTTTTTTATTTCGTTCATCCTTCTTGGCCCGTTCGTCCTTTTTCTCTATTTTTCGAAAATCCTCCTCGATATTTTCCATTTTCTCGATTCCACTCCTCGATACCCTTTCATCTTTCTGCTGCGACATTATCACAGAATCCACTTCCCATTCCTCCAAGTATCTCTCGTCAGTTTTATTTCTCTTTTCCTCGTCTTTCTGACCTTTGCTGCTACTGTCGGATATAACGTTTCGTACTAATTCTTGCTCCTTGCTCCAAATATCATGTTTCTCTACGGACCTCTTTCGCGACTCACCCTTTCTCTCCTCCTTAATCTTCTTCAATGGCGAGGAAGACCGTAAAGGTGATTTTTGTATTACTTTTATTATATCCTCATTATCATTTTCTTTCTCGTTATGCTCTTGTTTCTCTTTGACTTTTTTACTTGCTGCCTTCTTCTTTCTCCGGTCATCAGAGGAATCATCACTGTTGCTGGAATCAATGCTAACTTTTCTTCTTCGCTTCTTTTTCGTTCTAGCTATCCGCTTTGCTTTCTTCTTCCTCTTCTCGGCTTTCCGTTTCTTCTTTCTCCTCTTCTTCCGTTTATCATCCGAACTCGAGGAATCGCTGCTACTGCTGCTACTTTCGCTGCTATCAGAATCCGAAACACTAGTGTCGTCGTTCGACAACCTCCGTTTCCTTTTCCTCCTTTTTACATCCTCCTCCGAATCCGATGAACTAGACGTGCTAGATGAATCACTGCTGGATGTTACCTTTTTCCGTCGTTTCTTTCTTCGAACTTCCCTCGAGTCGGAATTCTCGTCGCTCAAACGTTCCACTTTGATCCGAACGTTCTCCCAGTCACTGGGAATCGATCTGGAATCGTCAGACTCATTCCTCTTCTCTTCCACCGCTTCACTTTGCTTCCTACGCTCCTGCGTCTGAATACGGGAATCGTTTGAAGACATCTGGTCATCTTCGACTTCCGGTACCTCTTGAACATTTTGGCGACCCTCCTTATTTTTGTGTTTCTCTTCTTTGCTCGTCTCACCTTTATCCAGCTTCTCGGACACATTATGTTTTACAAATGTGAAATTATTGTCCTCCGGTAAATTAGTCTCTATATTGAAATCATGATAGCTCAACGGCGGAGTGGATTTCGTTGGAACCACTTTGGGAGAAAACTCCTTTGTCGTTGGAATATCAGTGCAGACCATCTTCATGAATTGCTCGTATTCTGACGCTAATTTTTCGTCGCCTGCGGATTGTAGCAACGGAGACGTTGATTGTCTATTATCATCGACATCTTCATTGACGATGCACGACTCGGTGCCTTCATCGATATTTTTCTGATCATTTTTTATTTCCTCTTCGATTACACTTGAACGCGAAGGAAATGTCTCTTGCCCTAAAATAAATTTTAAAGATCAAGTACAGACATTTAATACTCCAAAAAGAATTCGAAAAAGAAAGGTGAGAAGGTATACCCCGATTTATATCACGTGATTTCGCTTCGCTTTGTTGTTCTTCCTCAACATCATTGGACAACCTGTCTTCATCCTCGCTGTCCCATTTTGATCTAGGCAATTGCACGTTCACAGGAAACTGCCATTTGACCTTCTCGCTGGACTTGCATATGCCTGCTTTTGGATACCAATTACGAACACGCGCCGACTTCTCGATATCTTCTGCATTATCTCTAGAATTGTTAGGATCTGAATGGGTAAAGGAAAATTGATGAGGTAAAGAACATTTTGATGTACCGTGCAATATCCGCCTCGCATATCTCCCGCATTTTTTCACGACGATCACCGGTGACGACGTGAAGAATCTGTTCATGACTCAGGAAGAGCGACATGCGAGGATTCTCAGAGTAAAGTAATTGAGGTCTTCCTCGTTTGGTCACCCTCACCGATTCAGGTGGATATTCTTTAGGTCCGTCCAGTCCTTCAACGGTGAAAGCGTATCGTTTCAAACGGCAATCGTTTAACAGTAACATTTGTTCGAAGTAACGCGTGTAATCTTCAGCGGTTCTGTAATTGATATTTATTTAATAGATAATTTGGAGCTGCGCATGAATAGGATATTTTTAAATGCTAACAAACCTGTTCTTTGTCGATCGATCGGAGTAATCACGCCTTCTGATATCTATAATATCATCCATTGTTATACCACAGTTTTTCAACTCTAACCACGAAGAAAAATGCGTTATATCTCTCTCTTTCCCTTTGTCTCTTTCCTTATCTTTTTCTTTCTCTTTTCTATCTTTGATTTCAGAACTTTTCTCTCTTGAAAGGCTTCTCTTTTCTCTAACGTTTTCCCTTTTTTCTTTTACCCCCTTCTTCTCTTTCACATCTTCCCATTTGTCCTTCTCGTTATCTTTTTTATCTCTTTCGTCTTCTTTTCTGTCTCGGCTTTCTTCATACCTGTTGGTATCATCTCTCTTATCTTTATCGTCTTTCTTGTCTTTCTCTCTTCTACGCTGATCTCTATCTTTATAGTATCGTTCTTTGCCGGTACTGTAATCTTTTGATTCCCTACCTACGCTGTCTCTTCGGTCTTCCCTACCGTATCGTCTCCTTAAAAGAAGTTGATAAATATTACTCGTAAACGACAAAATATAAATGAACTGTGTCACGTAATAAAATGTTTATGGCGTAACTCTTTGCATTTTAACCAAAATGGCACTTTAAAATACGATTAAAATATAGAAGTTTAAGTATGTAGTAACTTTTATACCTTTCAGAATATTTATTCTCCATCGACGATTTCGAACTGCTTTTACGAGATACACTATCATCTTGTTTACTTCTCTCTCTTATACCTTTTACACTTTCTAATAAATTTTGTCCATTCCTATTTACATAGTTGTCTTCCTCTAAACTAGCTGTAAAATAAAATAAATTATTGTTTATGTTCAGGTAATGCAAATAGAGCACAATTAAATACCTGCAGCCATAGCTTCTGCCAATAGTAGTTTACTTTTGGACTCTTCTCTCCTGATTTCTTCAATAGCCAATATCTTTTCCTCTGTACAACAATATCAATGAATTACTAAGGAACGTGTCCAATAATTTTCATTGAATCATGTTATCTCTATGACTAATGATAAATATATACAAATTACGTACAATGAAGTATCACATATGTGAATTAATTGACTTGTTACATAATAATCATTCACACAATTTAATTCAGTAAAAGATAATGTGCTACGAGTGAAAGAATGTGTAAAATTCATTTCATTCCACAATACCTGTCTTTTTCTTAGATTTACCGCCACCTGAATGACGGTTATGAAATTGTACAGAGTCGGAATCCATGGTTAAACTTGAGCTTGAATCATTTTGCAAAGATTTTCCATCGCCTGATTTAGTCTTGGACACTTTAGCTGAATGTGTTTGAAGTAAAGTAGTTTTATTGGGAACCTTTGGTAAGACATTAAACTTATTGACGAATGCCATCAATCTTTTTTTTGCTTGCACTTTCCCTAGTACAGGTTTAAGCATTCTAGGACTTTCCAACCTGGGCATATCTCCATCACTGGTTTGACCTTTAGTGCTTTCTGGTGTTTCTGGCATTTGTATATCGAGCAAGGATATTGGAATGTCTGGCGTTGGTTCTTCAGGAGCATAAACATCTTCCGACTGTGACATTGTGTCAGCAGTTTTCTTTTCTGATTCTTCTACGCACACAATTATAATATAATGAAAAACACTAATATAAATGTACAAAAAACAAAATAAGCAAGGCATTAAGAAACTTTACCTTGAAGAGAATCAACTGTGTCTGTTTCTGTCATTGACAAATTTTTATTTTATCATGCATACAGTGATTGTTTCAAATAATTATTATATACGTACAAAAGTTTTATTTTTCATGCTTGATAAACATCAGATTCTATAAAACAGAACGTGTATCATTTATTATTTTCTAATTCAGTATGAATAAAAATATCCATTTACACTACCTAGGCAACAAATAACCCATATTTCCACTAATTTTTATGCGCAAAGCCCTTCATAGGAAAAAAGAATTCACTTTTATATAAAATGTGAATGCACTCAGGTGCACACTCGAATGTATATACATATACGCACATAATGACATCACGCGCCCTACGCATATACATATATATACACACACACATACGATCCTGGGGCAGTCACACGGTTTACACAATCATTGATTAGGACAATTCAATTCGGAGTAATCAAGCCAAAAATTGTTTCCAATATAGGTACAATGAATGAACGAAAGATTAGAATATTAAACGATTCATATCATCGGTATATATTTTCATCCAGAAAATATCGAATAATGGAAGGGCGCATGAATTCTCAATTTTTATAGGAACTTAGCGTAATTAATGAAAGGATACCTATTTTTAGTAGAATTCTGTGAAACTGTCATTTTCTGGTGAAATCTCGTGAAACTGGCAGTGTTAAAGAAGATCGAAGGGAAACCAAATATTACATAGTGTTGTTAGACGTGTTAGTAACTTACTTTACGTTGAGTGCTAAGTGACTGAAGAATACATGTTGCCTGTGATAAGAACAACGGTTTATTTCTCGTATTACAATCACAATTTTTTAGCCACGCAAACCTTCTCAATTCCACTTTTATGTTTCCGTGCACAACCAAGTCAAACGAACCCACTACGTGAAAAGCGTCAGACATTTTAGTCAAACCGCAGGCCGGCAACTATAGACGCTTTTGCATCCGGCACAAGCATGGTTACCAATAGTCAACGGATAAACGAGCGCAGGGTGAAAATAAATGAAAAAATATATTATTAAAGCGTTAGCACTCGTAGAATTTGTTTTATATTTAAACGTCTATAACATAGTTCAATCCGTTTAATTTCCTCTTTAACAGTGAACGCAACGCAATGCAATTTTCAAATTAAACGATTACACTCAATACTGGTATTGTGGGTAACTAGGTAGAAGATATTACCTGTTGTATAGACAGAGAAAATCTTATATTAAAACCATTCATTGGTGTAACAAAACATTACATATCAAACATTTTTTTAAAGCATGTCTTGTTAAAAATGTAAATAAGTACAATTTCAAACTAAATTCATGATTATCTAAATGTTTCTTTCTTAATAAAATTCAAAAGATATTGTATTTACATTTCATTATTGCATTGTTCCTTTTGAAAAATGTTAATGATAAAGTTGGATACAATTAAATGTATACACTTGCAATAAGTGATTTTATAATATTGTCTATTCAAGAAAGTGTAGCATATATGATATTCGTCTAAAGTTTAAGTATATATTTGTAACATTATATACTGTTTTCACGCTATGCTCTTAGATTTATTATAGTCTTATGATTTTTATATTCGTTATTGTAGTTTCAGTAATTGTAATAATGATTGGTTTTCTTGTTTGTCTCATTTCGAACTGATATATCAAAACAGAGTCTATATAAAGTATTTATGAATTTCGGACACCTATGTGCATTACACAATTAATGCAAAAATTAATCTAATTCCGTTTCCGAAGGATCGCCACCCATTGCTTTCCAAAAGGCAGTAACTAATTGTTCTGCTGCTATTCGCCTCTGATTTGTTGGCAGTGATGCTGCGTGTTCCTTCATAGCCATTAACTGACTAAACAATTCACCAAAATCTGTATTTTCTTCTCCCATAATACCATCTGAAAAAATGATTGCTGTAAGCTAAAATTAAATTATTTTAATGGATCTACCTTCCACTGACCTAGCATGTTTTCCATTGGTAATCTTTCTGTGGAATCTCGAGTTAATTTAATATTTTCAAATTGTTCTTCAACTTTGTTCAAGTCGGGTCTGTGTTCCTCAGTGTTTGATGGTTTTCCTACAAAATCATTAGATACTTTCATACTTGAAATATTTCAAGCAATATCTTTCAATCTACAATTAGATGTAATGTATATAAAAAAACCTTTCATTATCATATTAGGCCACATATGAGCATGTAAAGCTTCAATCATCCTGTCAATTCCATATTTATTATGCTCTACGTCAGATTCTGAGGCATCCGTATCCGGTTTGTTTAATTCAATCAATTCAAATTTTCTTTGTAGACACCATTTTATTACTAATATGAAACACATTTTTAAATTTTACTACCTTTGTGTTGTTTATATTACCTATTAAAGTATTGTTTATTTTACCTTTATCTCTTATAAGAACATCTGTTATAAAATTGCAAGAAAAGAGCAGTACTTCTGCCTCTGCTAAAGAAGTAATTATAGGCATCCATTGTTTTAAATTTTCTTCTGCATCTTCCTAAGGAAATCAACGTTGAATATCATCCATTCCTTTGAAAGTTCATTTTATGAATGAAAATTCTTACTGCCTGCGGATCATGATGTACAATAAGAGCTTCTATACCATCAATTGAAATATCTGGAGAAGGATTTTCCGTAACACAGATTAAGACCTGCGTTTTGTAATATTTGTTTTGAATATTCCATAGGTAATATTCAAAATAATCTTGGTTTGATAGTTTCTCTCCTCCTATATCTATAAAATAAAAAAAATGTGTAAAATTTTAGACTGGGAAATATTACCTTTAATAACAAGGAAAAATAATTGAATATGCTGTATGTAAAATTAAAAAATAAATTTTTTTGTTTAAGCAAAACAGAATACTAAAATCTGAACTTACTTATGGCAATTTCGTTAACTTTTCCTTTTACTGTGCTTACAATCAATAAGCGTGGCAAATTCATTGTTTAAAAACTGTATTTACAATATTAGAAATAAATAACTTTATAAAGTGGTTGAAGGATTCAACTAAAATTGTTTACAGTTTATCGTGTGAGGTTATATTTACATTGAATAGTCGCTACAAAAATGTAGTGCACTACATACGTAGAAGTAAACCACTATTATTTAGTGTATAACAACATTTATTCTGTATACGTAATAAGATATAAATTATACCAGGAATTCTTAAAATAGTCGTGATTTTCTATTTCATAACATTGTGTGATGGACAATCTACAGTGACTAATTTTTTTATTACTTTGGCTATTAAAACAACTAGACTAGGGTAATTTCGATTGTTGAATGTTACAAATCCAATTTCAAGAATGTTGTTTCTTTCAATCATATAATTCTATTAAAAAATGATACATAAATCGATCCTTCAAATTAATTCATGTTTATTAGGTGTAAGGAAATATGAATTGATCAATGATCAGGGAAAGTAAAACGAAAATCAATGAAAGGTATACACACATACGTCACACGTACATAATAAAAAATGATTGTGAAAACGTGTATTGATTATTAGATTTATAATAATACATTAACTCGCAAGTACATATGAAATCATAAAATATGAACGTGACGCGGTAATATATCTTCGTCTTTTTACTTGTAGAATTCGTGTTCGGATTCGTCCTTTTTAATGTTATTTTTGTATCCTTTTTCAAAATCTTTTGCTAAAACTATATAGCGGTTCTCGCGGACTGCGTGCATTCCTGCTTCCTGACAAATCGCGTTTATGTCTGCACCAGAAATTCTATCTGGTCGTGCCACGTAATCTTCTAAGTCCACTTCTTCGCTTAAATTCATTTTCGCGGTGATCGTTGAGAAAATCAAACGCTTTTGCCGACGGTCGGGCAAAGGAAATTCGATCTTCCGATCTAATCTACCTGGACGTAGTAAAGCAGGATCTAAGGTATCCGCTCTATGAAAGAGAAAAATAAATTATGAAGTTTCTACATAATATAGAATTACACAGGGTAAGAATTAAAGGCTTTACCTATTTGTAGCCATTATAACTTTCACATTAGTTGTTTGATCGAAACCATCCATTTGATTAAGTAACTCTAAAAGGATACGCTGTACCTCACGATCAGCTCCCGTCTGAGCGTCGAATCTTTTTGTGGCTATAGCATCAATTTCATCAATGAAAATTATAGCGGGTGAATTTTCTTTGGCTAAACGGAAAACATCTCTGACCATCCTTGGCCCTTCACCCAAGTATTTCTGTACAAATTCAGAACCTACTACACGAATAAATGCAGCTGAAAAATAAGAATTAGATGAATTAATTAATTAAGCAATATACATATTAAAGATGTATAGAATTTCAGTTATAATTTGTACCTGTAGTGTGTCTAGCTACAGCTTTTGCGAGCATAGTTTTACCACACCCAGGTGGACCATACATTAGTACACCTCTGGGTGGATCAATACCAATCTGTTTATAAAGTTCAAAGTGGGTAAGAGGTAGCTCCACAGCCTCCCTAATCTCCTGCTTCTGCATATCCATACCTCCAATATCACTATATTGTATATCAGGTTTTTCATCTATGACAGAAAATAGTTTACAGAAAAAATTCTATCAATACTATTCTTAATTGAAATAATACATACCTGCTTGCAACATAGAAATACTAGAATCAGCTTCTGGTGGTAAAACATCTACCAGGGCATTGCTGTGCTTGTGAAGCGCTACACTAGCTGAAGGCTTCAATAATTCTCTATCGATTGTTGATAAAATGCGCACATAATAATTGGAACCTGTGGTAGACCCCACTATACCAGTATTTTGGTCGACAGCTTCCAGAAACTGTCCGATCACCAAAGGTACACTTTGTATACGCTTTACTTCTTCTTGAGCATGTAAGTATTCCTTTTTCAAGTTGCGTTGTTCATCCTTGATATATTCTTCTTGAACTTCAAGGAATTCCAACATTCTTTGTAGTTTCTATTAAATGCACTAAATTCTCGTTAACGGTAAATTAAAAATAAAAAAAAACTAAATTAACAAAGAACAAAATATAAGTATCTTTTACCTTATACTTTGTATACAGATCTTCTATGTCCAATTCATCTCCAGCACCAGTATAATGCCCAGTTATAGGCTTACAGTCCATTTCTGTTACATCCTATAATTTTATTACAAATACATATTTCAATTATTACAAATACATATTTCGATTCAGCTGGTAATAAATTAAGGTTATAGTAAGCGCATTTAAATACAATTTTAAATTTTCTTCTTGGAATGTATACAAGAAAAAAGACATGAATACCAGTGATATACCTTGTCGGGTACAATCACACTCATTTCCTCCATTATTTCACAAAGATCCCTGTCCACTCAACCGAACGCACAAAACGAACGAATGACTCGAGACTTTTGAGCGGATTTACTTCAGCACACTTCAGCGGCGGATACGTCAAGGATTGATACCATCAACTTAATAAATTCAAGAATGGAACACGATAAAAAAGTATTAATACCCTATACGATTTACATTTCTTCTATAATTATTATGCTAAACTGTAATTATATATTAATATTAATATACACATTTATGTTTGTAATTTATGAATTAATATTTGTTAATTCCCAAAACATGAATGTTGTGATACCTTTACAAGTCTAGTAATGATTAGTAAATCTTACTAGATTCATATTTATATCTTTTTTTAAATGAATTATAAGATTAATTATGCACAAAGAATTGTTATTTTAAGAAGTGAAATATTAAAAAATACTTGATAAATGATCTTCCGAGTGAAAAAAGAAATTCCCTATAAGTCCACGTTTTAAGATAGTCATCATAAATATTACCTTGCGCTACTTGACTTCAAGTTATGTGATTTCTGGTTTTATGTTTTCGAAGGCTCTTAAACCGGGAAAGGTCTACGGTTTCGGTTGAGTAAGTAAAAGATTCAATTTTTTTATAATATTGTAAATAAAAACTATTATTACACGAAAAATTATTATTATTATGGTATTAAGACATAAGCTGCGTCTATAAATTCATGAAAATTCATATTTAAATTTAACATGAATTTGTAGGTTCTTCAAGAACAAATGAAACAAATGTTTTTGCAATATTAATTCCATAAAATATAAATATAAATTTGTGAGCTACAATGGTGATGGAAGAACAGCAGACAGATATGGAACTTGATTCAGAGAGGGTTCCTGTTCCTCAAGTACAGAAACCAGTCGAAGATCCCCATGTGGATTCAGTAAACAATGTTGCTAGCGCTCCACGAGGAAAACCTAGGCTTAGAAAAAAAGCATTACATGCTGCAATACTGAAGCAAATGGAATTTTACTTCAGCAATGCAAATTTAACCAAGGATCGCTTTTTAAGCAATTTAATTAAAAAGGATCCATGTAAATATTACAAACATCAAATATACGTATTCGTATTTTATTTGAGATCATTAATGTCTATTTAATATCTTTCAGATGTTGATCTCACAGTTTTCACCACTTTTAATAAAATACGAGAATTAACTACCAATACCAGTAGAATATGTAAGGCATTAGAATCGTCAAAAATATTAGCAACGTCTGAAGATGGAACAAAAGTTCGTCGTATAACACCAATAGTATCAAAAAAAAATACAGATGATTGTACGCTTTACGTACAAAATTTACCACCAGATGCAGATCATGAAATGTTAAATGCAATATTTTCTCAATATGGTTCAGTAGTGTATGTTTCAATTCCACGGTACAAACAAACCAAAAAGATAAAGGGATTTGCATTTGTGGAGTTCGATACACCAAATAGTGTCAAAACATGTTTAAAAGTACTGAAAATATATTTAAAGTATTAATATTAGTAGCTTAATTTCTTAGTATTAACATTTATTATTTAATTTTATTTTGTAGGCTTTTCAAAAGAAAGGATGTGTTTTACCATCACACACATCTCCTGATGAACTTTTAAGTATCACAACGTTTGACGATACAGAAAAGGATGTGACACTGGAGGGAAAGAAAAAGTCAAGTGACAACAAAATGGAAGAATCAGAAAATGTTGAAACTGAAATAAATGAAAGTTTGGAAAGTAATGAAGAAGACACAACATTAAATCATACTTCGGAGCATCCTGAGAACAAAGATGAAAATGAAATACAAAAAAGTAAACATCAAGATGGAGAATTATCTGACTCAGTTGAAACAGAACATGAAACACACAATGAGAGTATAAAGAATAATATTTCTGTGGATTCACCAAAGAAGTCACTTAAGCGTAAAAGAAGTGAAGGACAAATGCTAGACAATGGTAATGAAAGTGAACAAATGGTAACCGAAAATAGTACGCTTGTTGCAGATGAGCAAGAAGATACAAGTGAGAAGAAGAAGAAAAGAAAACGTAAAAGGCGCAGTAAAGTAGAGGATATTAGTGTCACCATGGGATTGCAAGTGATGACTAAAAAAGAGTGGAAACATCTACGAAACAAATATTTAGAATTACAAAGAAGTAAAATGAAGCAGTTAAAGCAACATCTCAGGAAAACCAGATGGAATCAATGGTCAAATTATGAAAAAAATAAACCAGAAAAGGAGGAAACCAATGAGAAAGAAAAAACTAATAAGCAAGATAACGCAAGTGCATGTCGTTTTTCATTTATTCCAGGAGTTATAGTTAAAATTGAAATGGAAAAACCATGCACAGATCCAAAATTGCTCAAGGTATGTTACATGCATTAAATGGTGAAATGTATGCATGCAGGTTCTTATCATAGTTTGATATTATTGCAGATGGAATTAAAAGGCAGTAATTCTGTAAAATACATAGATATCACGGAAGGATCTTTTCTTGCTTTTGTAAGGTGTGATACACCTGAAGGAGCGCGAGCACTTGCACAAAAATCTGATGAAGAAAGACATATGACTATACTTGAAGGTAAGGTTGTTTATATATTTGTCGCTGAGTGTAATGTATAAACTTCATTTCAACTTTTTACAGGTGAAGAAGAACAAGTGTATTGGGATAAAATTTTACATGATAGAGAGGAAAAACTGGGTAAAAAGATTCGGCCTAAACAGAGGGGAAGAAACAAGCTATTAAAGAAGGCAGAGAAAGAACTTGGAAAGCATATTAAATTTGATGAGGTATAATAATGAAGATACAATTTTGTTGTGAAATCTGTTTAATATTTGTATATAAAACATATGCTTTTATATAACGTATCAGTTGTGGAAGCAGAGATCACATGTACTAACAAAATATTGAACATAAATGAAGTACTGTTTCAATTACGTTTTTTTTTAATCTTATTTAAAACTATTAATATTCCTGTCTCTTTCATGAAATTAACATGTTCTCATTCCTTAATAGGTCTTTATATAAAAATTCATTATAGAGTCTTTTATGTTTCTACCATCTTCCTCTTCCGCGACCTCTACCAGAGTCGTTACGTCCAAATCCTCCTCCTCCTCCACGACTTCTAAATCCTCCTCCTCCACCACCACCACCACCTCTATTTCCAAAGCCACCACGTCCAAATGAGGGTCTACCTCCGCCTCTACCACCACGTCCTCCTCCACCACCTCTCTTCATTCCACGACCACCACCTCCACCTCTCTTTTCACCAGGAGGTCTAGGCAGAAACCTTTGTAAAGGTAATAGTTTTGCTGGATCTATAAACAACTGAAATAATTACAAGAATTTTTAGTAAATCCATTGAAAAGAAATTTGTTGTACATATCAAAAAAATTGTTCCAAACCTCTGTATCCTTTTGGAAGCTAGATGCCCTCATATTTTCTGATAACTTGATAGATACGTAGTAATCCCTAATATTACCAAATATTTCATCTATTTTCCCAATTTGTTGTTTGTTTTCTGTGTAAATTGGAGCATTAAAAAAGGGCACTTGTTCAATGTCTACCTTAGCAACAAGGTCATCTTGAACTGTCCATGTAAAGTGGCCTAATCGAGTAACTTCTTCTGGTGGACCTTGGTCAAAGCTGTATTGGATGAAATAATGTTATTCTATATTTATTATATAATCACGAAATGAAGTGAAATTTACTTACTTTCTTCCACCTCTATCAAACCCACCACCACGTCCTCGGAAACCTCCACCGCCTCTTCCACCTCGAAATCCACCGCCACCACCGCCTCCTCTGCCAAATCCACCACCTCCACGACCACGGAATGACATTGTTTTAATTGATAATTACTAGAAACATAAAATACAATTTTTTTTATGTTAAATTTCAGAGTACCGGATCATATAAACACAATGTACGCCACGTGCCTAACCTATAGAAACTTAAATTCCTTGAACGAAGTCTTTATTTCCTTATGATTATGCACCAATTCTCATTATTTATTATATTGATTCCACGAAATGCCAGATTCAATTTTAACACACTATTTTTTTATATTATTGGATTATAACACGTTATTATAAATTGGCGGCATTTTACTCATATGAACACGCTTTGCGCTGTATATATCGCATGTATACAAGAACGTAATACTGCGCATGTGCATTCCGAGTGTATTAAATTTTGTAAGTGAAATTAAAAAATTTGAAATATTAATTGAAAATACTACATATAATATATACAAAATTAATAAATCCTTTGTTCAAATGAATTATTATTTTTTCAAATTACGATGTAGCCGTTATGGAGTACGTTATAATTTTAATGTTGTGATCTAATATTTAAATAGCTATATACAATTTGTAATAACGTTTCAACTTCTTATAAACCTTGTAACATAATCCATTATTTATCCAACATTAATCTAACATTACATCACAAACTAAATAATGCTCAATACTGTATTGTACTATTTTATTCCATATTACTTGCCAACGGCCATTATTTCCTATAAATAAGATCTATACTGTTCTAGAAATAAATTTGAGCCGATACTCAAGTAAACTTTTAAATAGACGGGAAACTAGTTACAGAATTTTATGTTCTCTAATTCCTTTCATTGTTTCAGGATCAGCCCGTACATTGCTGAATATTATGCTTGTTTACCTTATTCTTACTTGGTGTCGACCATTCTACTACATACACGTGGTCGTTTTGAACAAGCCATTTTGTAGCGCTATCTATTTTCAATTCATGAAGTTTTTTCCTAATATCATATTCCTATTTATAATTTTTTGATTAGTGTCATTATCAGTTTCGAAATCGATATGGTGATCAGCTTGGTTAATTACCACGGGAGCGACCACGTAGCGTGACGATATAGACCGGGCCACGGAACCTCGTTCTATAGGTGGGACTCCCGTTTTTTCGTAGTTTAGCTATGAAGCAAGAGTGGGGATGGACAAGTGGTATTGTGTATTTAGTAGCGGTGTACGTCACTAACGTAGGCACTGTGCACGTGAGACGACTGTCTGCTAGTCGGGTCAGTGGTTAGCTGCACAAGATTCCTCGTGACGTTCTCCCGGCGGTTTTGAAAAGTCTTCTCTACATTGTCAGTTCCTTGTGATTATGTTACATAGATTAGTGACGGTCACAGGAGGACATTATGTTTACGGTATTTCGTGCGTTATTGATACTTACACATTTTCTTTACAACTTAATCACCGCGGTTCATAACTGGTATATGTTACTTTATCGTAAGTGCACCGAAATTTGGTACGGTGAGAATTTGATGACAGAGGTGGAGTGGCTGGTGCGCACCGCGAGTAGAACGAAAAAGCTGCCAAGGCACATTCTGATTATTTTCGGCGCGAAAGAGGACACTATATTAGATTGCGTGCGGATAATCAGCTGGTGCATTACCCTCGGTATACCCTATGTCAGTTTCTTTGACATCAATGGTAAACTTCATATTTTTTTCAAACATTTATTATCGATATTTTTTTTTGAAATACAATGCAAGGTTTTCAGTTTATAGCAGTACGTCTGTATTATCTTGAAGAAGTTTTTGAAATTAGTTGTGGAACGCATTAGCAAGACATATCTATGTTAAACAGGTTTTGTATTATAATGTGTTTTCACTATCAGTCATTACATTATCTATTCAGGCACAAAACTATTATATGTTCTGTCGGGAGCTCAAAAATTAGTGGCTCAAGGTATCGAGCAGATACTTGAAGCGTGGAAATAGAAAACGCTTATGGAGTATTTGATGCTTATTCCATAAGAATTTAGTAACTCTATTAAAATGTTTTAAAATGTTTCATGACATAACATTCTCTTTAAATGTATTAATATTTATGATTTATAGAAATTAATACTTTGAGTTACTTTTTGTAACGTATTCTGTAGAATAAGTTGTGTACTTTGTTGTATATGCTGCTGCAAATGCTTATCTCTTTAATATATTCTTTCTAACCTTAAACTTTTGATAATAATATTCGTATCTTGTGACAAGTTTTGTTCACTTTTTCACATTGTTATCTATGTACACTTTAGAATATCTTTTAATCTAATGGCACTTATTGTTACATATTGATGGAAAATTATATTTATGTGAGTATTCATTCTCTGAGACTACTACATGTTATTAAATTGAAGTAAAGATGAAACTACAAAGTACAGAAATGCAAATATATAGAGCTCTTATAAAATGCATTATTTAAGATAAAGAGTGAAAATTTAGTAATACTGCATATCTATTTGAAATAGTTTATATGTTAGTACTTAGTTTTTTTATTACTAATATAAAAGAAAATTATCTATAGTCTAATGATGTAACGTTACACATGTGTTTTATTCCATAGAGCCAAGGACAAATAGAATATACACATGTGTTATATCTTGTCATGCGGAATAAACTATTAATGTATTATATTTATAATTTATCTATTGGCAAATACATTTAAATTAATAAGAAATAATTAAACTAAAATATTAAATTGAATTCAAGTCAATATTATTATACCAATAAAAGTAAATTATGCAAAAAGTGTATGTAATTATTACTCAGTTTTATATTTCATATAATTGTTGTATGCATTGCAGGTTTCCTTGTGAAGAACGAGAGTTTTTTGAAACATGAAATTGAAAAAAGAAGGCCTGATTTAGTAGATCATATCAGTTGGAGTAAACCGAAAAGGGCATTTAAACAAAATGGAATGACTGGTATGGTTCCTTGAGAACAGTTTCATGAAAACTCTGATGTTACAGTTACTGATCTGTATTTTCAACTTGCAGGTTCTAAATTGAAGACACGAGTAACCTTGTTATGTGCTTTGGATGGAAAAACAGAAATAGTTACATTAACAAAGAATTTGGCTGAAGCAGTTGTCACAGGAACAATTAAATCCGAAGAGATAAATGCAGATTTGCTTAATGAGAAATTAAATTCACGGGACCTACCTGATCCCGATATAGGATTAATCTATGGCCGCGTTTGTTGTACGTATGGTGTTTTGCCATGGCAAACGCGAATAACGGAATTTTTGTAAGTTTTAATGAATGGAACTTACTAATGTAAATTCGGTCGTAAACAGTATTAATCATTAAACGTTATTTCTTTTTTGTTTCTAGTACGTTACCTGTACACTATAGCCTATCAGTTAAGGACTTCATGTATTTGCTGAAGAAGTACAATAAATGCGAGCAACGATACGGGAAATAACTGGAATTGTTATTCTTATTTGTGTAACTTTTTTGTACTTCAAACAGAAAAGAGAGAATATGAAAGAAATGAAACAAGAAATAGATATTTAAGAAGACTTATAAAGACTGAACCTAAAACAATTTACAGATACTATTTTATAAGTGGTTGCGTGTTAGTGAAATAATAAAAGGAAGGGACATGGTGCTTGTATAATACAAGTAATGCTTATAAATCAATTTTAAATGAGTGTCTGTAAGAAGGAACTTAGGTAGCTTAACTTAAAGACGTTCTCACGAGCATCAAGAGAAGAGGATTCCACCGAACGCTGTAAGAATGGATTACTTTAATTTTATAAAATAGAACGATTATTTTATCGCGAAATGTAGAACAGAAAAGAAAGCAAAGAATAGTTATAGACGGAAGCGGAGTATTTCTACTTTTTTCTTAGAATCGTGAGGCTTTTTATTATTTAATTATTTGTAAATGTTAAGTACTTTCAAAGGGTGCACGAAGAAAAATTATTTAATTGCCCGACTTCAGTGAAACAAAATGTTACGTTCAACGTCACGAGTACAAATTTAATATTCTTAAATATCTAAGATAAATGTTAATAACATTTTAGTAGATTTTTTAAAATTTCGCTCGCATCGTTTTTTCCGTACCCTTTATTCGTACAGCTGGAAGAAGAAAGTTTAGAAATACCGATGCTCCTGGGGGCAAATCCTGTTTCGTTCATGACATGAAATTAAATGGCGAAAGAGACTTGGAATAAAATTATTGCATTTATCATTGCTGCCGATATGCCGACATTCCGTGTACATAATAATTTATCCGTGGAATCTCCGTGCACGTGGATATTTTGATATCAAAAGAACACGATTTTTCGTTTGATCTTAGTGGTATTTTTCTTGAGAGAAGCGCCTATTGTGGAGTCGAGAATTCTTGAAACACCTAAATACAATTCTCTTTTGCATAAACGCTGTGTTCGTTCTTTATTTGACAACCTTCATTATCCTGTGACTGTTATTTGTGCTATATCCTCAAAGTCCTAAAAAAGCTAACTATATTATAAAGAACTAAAGTTATATTTAAAAAATACAAAATGTATAATTAAAATATGAATATAAAATGTAAAAAAAACTATAAAAAGCGTTCTTATCTTACCGAGTACTTTATCAATTAACTCTTATTGTTATGTACATAATCTATAAACCACGGTTTAAAACAAATTGCTTGTTCCGTACTAAATGATAGTGAAAAGAATATTTTCAAGATGTTTACAAAAGAAAAAAATAGGTTCCGAAATCGTGGTTGAAAGATCTTGAATATATTCTCATCAATGTGATCCATGGATCACCATTCGAATGTTCTGCGATTCAACAGGATGTCTAGGACACCCTTTGGCCGGTTCATCGGCTTAACACCGGATTATATACTTTCAAGGATGTCAGTTCGGCTCCTGCGTACACAAAGCGTACACAATGGTCCTTGGCGACTTCTGGAGACCAAACATTTTTCAAGATAAGGTCGTACTATATTGTTCTACTTTTCTGCGGCGCATACACCTACGTGTACTACTACGCAACAAGGGAGACATCGTGAATAAAAGTTAGCCAATGTTCACGGAGTAACGCGATGCGTAGGTTGAACAGCATTAAAAATTGTTTGAAACATCAAGCTCTCGTTATGTATTTGTCGAACATTTAATAAATGTGTCGTATTCTGAAATGTTTGAAAGGGGATTATTAATTACTCTATTTCATAAGTCTTTTTCAATCTTCACAGTCCACGTAAAATTAATTTCACAAATTAATATCAAATCGTAACTATTTAGATTCTTTTTCATTTGTTCAATCTTATTAATGTTATATTACAATGAATGATTAAACATTATTGTATGTTGGAAATAGCTTATTTTAAATATTGTGGAATATAATAATGTATAATAAAATGATACGTATTTGGAATAAAAATTTGATACTTAATATTTTTGTAAATGCTTGTATTAGAAGATTTATTGTACCCTTGCATCGCATCGTTTCTTACATTCGCATCGGGCAATTTTTGCTATAAGTTTCCTATAAAACGGAGTATTTTAGTGGTGTAAAAATATTTTAATATATGTCTATTAAAACTGGGATAATTATTTTTGTAATTAATGTACAATATAATGTATAATCTAGTTTGTTAACACATATTCGATCGGGAAACGAGAATTTTCGTTAAGAAATCATTCTTATACGGTTTATGTCATCGTCACCGGTGAAGGTTCGTGTATCTATCTCGAATTCGAACGAGTACCATTGTCACCGAGTTATGCAACAAATACGACGGTTATTTTAATACCGTAGTACCTCGGCGACGCTGGGAAATTCGTCGTTACATTCCCCGCGTTTCATTTTCGCATAGCTTGTCCGACGAATTTTTTTTTCCGCCTACTCGTCGCAACGGGGCGCGCGAAGGAGGGTAACAAACGACTTCCGGGCTCTTTTATTGAGAGAACAATACTATGTACGAATAGAGAAGAGGCTCGGGCCTGGTCACGTCTCGCGAAAAAATGGACAAAGAAATTTTCAACTTTTCCCTGGTTATTTAACATTAGGTTTACGGACGTTTATTGTACGGTTTATTCTATTGTTCCTAGAAAAATTGATGTTCGTTCGTTTAGATCTTGGAAATTATAGGGATTATACGTCTTCATGTAATTGCATCAATCAGAATCGACATAAACGTTTATCAACGTTTTCCTGCTTTAACACTAGAACCACCAGATGACCCATTCCTGATTTCTTCTTTTGCAATTATTGGAGAGACATAAAGGTTTTCTTGAGAAATTATTAAAGTAGTTGATTGGATAACATACAGACTGAAATCTTAATAAACCTGCACAACATTTTATAGAACAGTTTTGTTACTATTAATATATTGGATTATTAACGCCGATTGCTATTCGAGCAATCCATAAAAATTTCTATAAAAGAATTGAAAAAAGGCCAATTTTACTGCTCGGTAGTTCTAGTGTTAATACACAGAATCGGGAGGGAACTAAATGGAAATTTATCTTTTCCTGTGGAGAATCAGATATAGAGGAAAGAGAAATAATGTAGCGCATACTCCTAGTTGAAGGTATTGGAAACCGCTACTAAATACGCTGCACGCGGATGACAAACAAAATTATTCCACCTGTGCCGTGATCGTTGTCTCACGATGGGAAACTGGTGACCCAGATTCAACTCTAGAAAACAAGTGTCTCTACCTGTTGCATTTCGTCCCCCATTCACAAAAGATTTTACTGGGTGCGTCAGGATAAATGACAATAATAAATGAAATAGCAGGACTCACTCGTGAAATTAAATGAACTAAATTTGACAAATCTAAACGTTATTTACCTTTTTGTTTTAATATGAACCAAATTTTACTTTTCTATTATCAATTGCTGATCTTCAGAATAAAGATGGACACAGAATAAATATCAAAGCTTTCTCTTTTTAAGAATAAAAATGAATAAAGTAGCTTTATAAGGTACAATGCTAAAAGAAGTCGTAGAACAAGACATAGTTTAGTTAAAACTTTATAATATTTTACCTTGCGACGTTTCGAAAAATATATGACGTGAATTTAAAGTTGGACTTTTAACGTTTGTAGAATATGTATCTGCTTGCTTAAAAAAGAAAGATAATAGTTAAACAGTTTGTCAATCATTATACACAGTAACTGTCTGCGGTTGTCATATCAGGAAGTTCGTTTTCGTTCATGGCATTAGATCGTCTCGTAAATAACGTGGTTTTCGCGTAAAAAATCATATTATTTATGGGATGACCCAATATATATAATAAAAACGAATAAAATGATTTTTACAGTTTTAATTTAACAAAATCGTTAAAGAATTAGCCTAAGTTTATCAAATAATTTCTCTCTTTGATTTTCATTATTGAGTTTGATCAATAAGTTGCGAATCAGTGGATCGATTGTTAATTTTCCGTCCAAGTGGAAACGACGAGTTATGGCCAGGCACTGGTGATACGAATGAGAAGATTATGAGAGACCCCAGAAAGTGAAACTGAGCGTGAAAATAATTTATTTTATATATTTTTCGGTTTATCTCTCCATAGAAAATCATCTTTTATTCCCACAGAGACACCTTTGTATTTCACTCGACGAAGAAATGCACAGGTGCGACTTTCTCCCGAGTGTCTCGACGTTTATTAGGTTCAACGCCATTTTTCCACGAATCAGAAGTAATTTTTCCGTTGGGATACTATTTTTTTTACACGTGGTTATTTTCGACCATTTAAAAATTCTAAATTGTTCGAAACACCAGTTACACTGATCTGGTCGCCGTTAATGATGAATTACATTTACTCTTTCGTAGCAAAGATAGGTAGGAACAGTTATTAATTATTTGTATCACAATCTTTACATTATACTATTACTAACTTACGTAATTAAACATTTGCATTTAACATCAGTTATCTTACATATTATAATCGTTTCCAAGTAATTTAGTAGTGTCGGTTATCAATGATCATTGCGGTAAATTGCAGAATTATCTGAATTCGATGAGTGTCTCTGTTGTTTCACAATTCGAATTGATACAAATGTGTTTGAAAACTAGTTAAAACCGTACATTTTAAAACAGCACGAGTCCACTTTTCAACGTTATCTATACGAGTTGTTACCGTAATTGTTTTCAGTTGATTCAAATCTATCTGACGACCTTAAAAATGTACATACAATAAAGATGTAGGTGTAGTCAATGCTCGCAGCAAGAACTAACATAGATAATGAATGAATAAACGAAGATGAAAAGAAAGATTAATTTTCTCGAAATTTTGATTGGTTGACTTGTGCTGTTTTGGAATTCATGGCTTCAATTATTTATGTTTTCAAATAATCATGTAATTCTTTTTCATTTTGCTTTAATATATATTGACGATATTTGTCCTCCGTTCGACGTGTGCCATTAGTTGATTTTGTTACACACCCCACGAGAGATTTAACTAAATACTACAGTTAACTGGTTAACGGATGAAACTGTCGATGAAATTATCATTTCACTGTTCATCGAATGAAGGTTAAACAAAATTGAATAAGCAAACGTAACTACAGAATATGCCTAGATTGTTTCTTGTTTTTCCAATAATTATTAATGAAAATGTAGTTGGATTGCTTACAGTTGAGAAAGAAATCATAGGGCAAGGGGTTAACTCGAGCATTCAGATAGAGCAAAAATCAAGGTTAAGATTGGACAAAGTTATAAATAAAATGCTATAGCTCTAGCATCGATCCTTAAATATCGTTGCTTTAAAAATACGTTATCTCATCAGGAATTATGCACACGCTTCATTGTACTACCGCTGACTGCGAATCCAGCCAAGGATGTCCGAGCGTGTCGCCGGAATCTCGCGGAAGTGGCAGTAATAAACGGGGACGGGGACGTTACGAATGGAAAACAAATAGAAAACAAGTGATTAAAAACAAACATGGCCGGCTTCCGTGTACTAATATTTATCTAAATCCCGTGGTGCTCCAAAGAGTTCTCTGAAAGCTGTCGTTCTCATCCTCGACAGTCTTACTACTGACAAAGATCGGAATCTTGTTTTCAAATTTCAATAAAGAATCGTTTTTTATTCCACTAAAATACTGGTGAAATATTTATGAAGACATTAGACATTTATCCAGTATCGGTGATTTATCCAGAGACAATCCAAAAATCTCTCTTCATCCCTTATCTTAAAGGTGAACATTGCTCAGGAGGACTCTCATCAATTAATCGGCAAGATCGGACCTCGAGGTCGGACCTGGACCAATCGGAGGTTATCGCTTCATTTTCATCATTTTGATAACATCTTCTCGAATGATGCAAAAACGATTCCATTTCGAAAATTGAAGATTAACTGCGCTACCACGACAAAGAAAAAGTTGGCCACTCAGTAGCAAACATAAGGGTTAAACATTAACACATTCATACAACGTAGAACAGCGATCCAATATTTAACAGTAGATATAGTTTGTATTTGTTCAATTTATTGAGTGTCTAACAAGGGACACTGCCGAATTACATAGCTAAGATCTTACATTCCATAATCACAATTACATTTACGAATATTAGTAATATTTAATCGTGCAACAGATGCAGACAGATGGTAACGATCTGATCACAACGATTAATGATTACAATAAATCCACGCGAGGTTGCAATAAACCCACTCAGCTGTAGACTTTGGCAAAAGGTATACGATCGCGAATGCGTCGAGAACGAAGAAAAGTCGCCAAATTGCATTTCCTCTGGAAAAAATGGTTCGAACAGCCCCGTTCGACGAGATCATTCTCGTGGTCCAGCGTGTCGCGAAGAGGATGTCGTCGTCGTGGAAGGTCGCGGTCGGGGTGGCCAAGACTTTGCCGAAAGGCGCCGCCGGCGTGTTTCGTTCGTGCCGATGATGATTATTATTCGTCGGACGGTCATAAATAATGAAGGAGATTACGTAGGTCGGTAGTCGGTGGTGTAATTGAATCAAAATAATGTAGAGGTATCGTGTTGTACGCTCGGCCAATCATAACTCAGGTGAGGCTATCCCGTTTCTCTGTCTCACAGGCCGGAGAGGCACGGGGATGCGGCGAGGATGCTCCTATATAAAGGGTGTCATCTCTAACCCCGGACACACTCGTTCCACCAGCAACAGGCAGCCAGCGTCGAGCGGCGCCCGCGACGTCGTACGTGCGATTCATCCTTCCTTTTTTACCCTCTTCTTTCCGTGAACGGAACCCGCGAGAAGAACTCGAGATCCGGACACCCCCGGCAGTCGCCCGCACGCACCACCGACACTTACGACATGGTGAGTGGTCCGCGAGATATCGTGCGTTCTCTTTTCCCCGTTGACTTTCTTCTTTGTTTTTTTACATTATACATTGTTCCTAATTCGATGTTAATTTGGTTTGTTTCTGGAGTTCGGTAGGTATTCACGTCTAACTCCCGTGACGTGTGAGTGCTTCGCGAGACAACGTGCGTTTTTCTCTTGATTCTTTCCCTTCTTTTTGAGAACACTCGTATGTTTTCTCCTTTCTCTTTTAAATTATATGTTGTGTTTAATTTGATGTTGATTTGGTTTGTTTCTGGAGTCTCGGTTCGAGACATTGTGCGTTTCCCTTTTTATTCCTTCTCTTCTCGTGAATCCTTGTGTGTTACGTTCTCCGGCGTTTACACTTTGTTTTTACTCCTGTTTTTACGTTAATGTGCTTTGTTTTGTTTCTGTAGTTTGATTCGTACACACGCCTAATATTATAGTTACGACGCAGTGAGTGCTTCGCGGGATATTGTGCGTTTCTTCTCGCTGCTTTTCATTCTTGTGAACACTTAGATGTCCTTTGCCTTGTAAATTTGATTTTTTTACGTCTTATGTTCATTGAGTTTGGTTCTGGTATTCGGTCTAGTTTAGGTCACACACCCATCTTCAGCATTCGCGACATAGTGAGTGCATTGCGAGGTATTGCGTGTTGTTCCATTTTTTGTTCGTTTCAACCCCTGTTTCTTCTATTTTTAACATTTCATTTAATTTTCGCGCGAGTTTGAATTCGAATAACAACTTTGGTTTATTTTTGTAATTCTGTAGGTCCACTTCATCGAAACTTACGATATGCTAAGCGCTTACTGTTAATTTTTATTGTTCTGTGCACCTTAGAATTTACATTTTTTTTTCCTTTCAATCGTATGCAGCGATATCCCACAATTTAACCTTTTCACACGATTGTTTCGTGAATCCTGCAGCTTGATCACTGATATCTTTCCCTTTTCAGTGCTTTCTTGAACAAAACCGCTCAACATTAATATCTATTGCAAACGTAGACATTCTCGGGGTTTAATCAAGATCCACGATCCCATATTTCGCAACCTTTAACTCGCCACTCGCTTCTCGAATAAATATTTCTCACAATTACATTAAACTAGTAAAACACGAGGTTAATTCTGCATGTAACTTCTTTAATTAGAATTTATGCGTCCCGCAAGAATCTATTATGGGCACGAGAAAAAACCGCGAGAATCGCGTGGGTAATAATAATTCATTTAACAAAAGAAAATTCAAAAAGATTCATTCTCATTTCCAATAAAGAACAAAGCAAATGAAATCGAACAATTGCACATTTTCCAAACAATATTCCAATATTTCAAAACTCCATGTATCATATCACATAATTAAATCATACATAATCAATTCCCTTTTGCGGGAACAACTCTTTTATCTCAGTTTTGTTCTCTATTCAAATGTAATCGCTCGCGATGCTAATTTCGTCTGGCAGCGGTTAATTCCCTTTAGAGAGAGTATCCTCTCTCGAGGCCGAAGAAAAGTTACTTAAATTATATCGCTCCTAATTGCCATTAACATTAACTCAAGAAGAAGGAAAAGGGAACGATGATGCTTCGAGATAATGTCACTTCACAGAGCGTTATCAAGATGTTCCATTTAAACACGCGAATTCGCATTTTTATGCGTTAATCCCTTGATTTCTTTCGCAATTGTGCTCGATAAAACTACATTATTATTAATAATTCTGTAGAAAGAGGAACAAATTTGCGGTCTACGTTCACTATAAACGTCGAAGATTGATAATAAACAAGTAATGTTTCATTCATACAAAAAATAAATGAATAACATTTAGATTTATCGAATTCGGTTGAACACTTTCATCGTGAGTCCGACTCGATATGATAGGAAAAGGGGTTAATTCGCGAAAACGAAAGCACTTGTTGAGCAAAGAAGGATATGGAATCATTATCGGCCATCACCGAAGGGATTAAACCGGATTTTATTTGACTGCATCTTCCGCAAAACGCGGGAACGTCCGGAAACCAACGAGTCGAATTGGTTTCAGCTGGAATTCGTTCGCGTGACTGTCCATTTCTATCCAGGATCAAATTAATCGCGTTTCGTTCCGCGTGCTATCGTCCGCTTGTCTTCACGGAAATATTTAAAATTCTACGGCCACCGGCTTTTTGCAAGTTTCTTCGAAGAAAATTTTGCTATTAAGAGGCCGCAGGCGACGCCGCTTGGATAACACGGTTTACAAAGTCAATTTTTTCCTCTTAATTGCGTGAATGGCATACGACCTGGCCTCCGGCTGGAAAGTTTCGCGTTGATCGACGTTTGGTATACTTTGGAAAATCGTTTTCGATGTGTTTCAGAAATTTATTAACTGTTACTTGACATGATAAAGGAAATTAGGCGAAAGGTTGTTGGAAACGTTGGGAGTTTCATTGGATAAAAGATAGATGTATTGAAGATTGATATTAATTGTAGTGAATTCTATTAATATTTTTTCCTTTTTTGTGGTTTGTGTATACTCAGGAATATGTGTAGCTAGAAATTGTATGAATTTCATGCACTATTCGATGTAATTTGTGTTGATACCAGCGAGATTTTGTGTTTCGTCAATTAAATTTCTTTGTTCTCCGACGACTCGAAGATTTCTCTATTTCCACGATTGGTATCCGGTTCCTTTCAATTAAACTTTATGTGGACCATTTTCCTTTGCCGTCGTACCGCAATTTGCTATATACAACACGTACTAAACTCTACAATTAAAATGTTAGTATCAGGTTCTTGTGGAATATTAAGAAAAGAATGACAATTATCTTTCCTTTGCTCGTTTGCTATTATCGATCATTTCTATAGTTCTTCTGCAGAAAATTCCTATAAATTTACCACTAAAATACTATTCTTTAACGCGAAAACTACCGAACAGCCAAATTAACTTCTCCAAATTTTTCTATAGAAACTCTCAGAGCGCATCTAATGAGATTTCGTGTTTGCGTAACGCTGAATCAGTTTCTTCGGTAATATCTCAGAGAAGAATTACGTTGTCCTCCCAATAATTGGAAAGAGAAGAAGTCAGGAATTGATCATTTTAACCTGCGGGGTAACTTTAGCGTTAATAATTGCATAAACAACTATTAAAATACATAAAATACGAATATTTTCAATAAAAACGTTCTAAATCGAGGATCAAGGTATTCTAAATAAGATCAGCACGTTCGTATCGGGTTTCCAACTTTTTTTCCAGGCAAAGTGGCGCTCGGTGTAAATAAATAATAATAACGAGCCGTGTCGTTCGTTTCTCGTCTATTCGCCGCCATTAATACGGTTTTTTGCACGGGTCGGCCATAAATGTGTAGCGTTTTAACGGAAACTGAGGTGGGCAGGTTCGTAGGCGACGCGACACTGTTATGAAGGATGTACGCGCACCGGTCGGTTAATTAACGTAACGCAAGGCAACGTATTAATCTTGCTCGGTATAACCCAGATATTACTAAACATCCTGCTAAGATAGCTAATAACTGACTGATATTATTTATCGCGAGGCGTACCGTGTCCCTAGCTGCAACCGATAATCCGCGCGAATCTTCGCCGCGACCTTGGGCCGCTTCTCGTCTCTCATCCCTTCTGGTCAAGGATTTTTTATAGTGTTTAATATTTCGCAGCTTTCTTAGCGAAAAATGAAATTATACAGTAGAGCCCAATATAACGCGATTAAAAAATTCCGTGTTATGGGATTTCACGTTTATCTCGCGTTAAACTCCCTCTTCTGGCACTAGTTCAACTTCTGTCTTCGCTTGTATTACTCTTTTATGAAGAATGTCACCTTCACAGTTATTTTTCAGTAATGTTTCAATCGTGTTATTAGAGATTCTATTGTATATCGTGTCGTTGAATGATATAGAAGAAGAAGATTGTGTTGTTCGACACAACCGTTCTACGTGACACTTATTATTTCGCAGCAAAGACAAATAGAAACAATGATTGATTATTTATATTATTAATTATTACTTAATACATCACTTACGGTACGCTATTATCTGTCTTCTGTTCTTGAAGCTCTAATTCCTAGGATCTGTATGAGCAAACATTTATTTTTCTAGAAACAATTGTTAAAGTGTCCAATAAATACAGGAAAATTTAGTGTTCAATAATGAAATAATGAAATAATTGAATCATTTGCATAAAACTTTGAAGACTAGATACAGATTCTATTACCTTGCTTTCAACATTTCGTTTAATGTTATCCCAATGATCTCGAATAGAATGTTTAACAATCGACGATTCTTCTTTTCTAACTGTCGACAAATAAATCACCGGGTCTCACAGGTACAACAGGTGTTCGCTTTGTTCTCGCCCGGTTGCTGCACAACAGAGGTAATTTGTCCCGTTTACGGATCTCTCGCAGATATAACTCCCAATTGACGGACATTTTCCCTTTTTATCCACCTACGGGCAATAAACACCGAACGAAAAATATCCTGACAACTGATCGGCATTGTGCTCTCGATTCAATGAAAGCTTTTGCATTCTGTGATCTTACATAACATCGATGTTATCAGTGATTCACCGATTACGCGAACAACATGACACCTTATTATAGTAATCGATCCTCGCTTCTCTTATTTATTTTAGATTAGACGTAGATGCAGTTCTTCTTTTACTCAATACACTCGACAAACAGGCTTTAATAAATATTTAATAGATAAATAAATATATAATATATGCATTTATATTAAATATTTCAATATCTATTTATTTTTATTAAATTATTTATTTATTATTATTCACCACACAACAAGTACTGCGATACCGAATCATTAATAATTATTTCCAATACCATTTTCCATCGTTACGAAAAAATCTTGCTGCACAAAACTCTAGAAATTCTAGTCGCAGTCAACGTGTTAACCCTTTCGCGGTCGAGGATCCTTTTTAACACTAGAACTAACACTAGATGGATCAAAATGACCTATTCCTGATTTCTTGTTGTACAGTTATTGAAAAAGTACAGATACTTCTACGAAAAATTATTAACTAATTCAGTAATAAAGAAATTAGTAAAAGTCAGTTTAAGTGATCGGTAGTTCTAGTGTTAAATATTCAAAAGTTTCAACAGACGAAGGTAAATTATGCATCGAACTCATACACGGTAGGGAGAAGGAGAACTATATATCGATCTTTTGATACTGAAGCAATTAAGTTATATATTGCTAACTTCGTATCTTGGATATGAAAGTCTGATGTCTCGAAAATGGCGGCGTTCGTCCTTAAAGGGTCAAGCATGTTCATCGAACTGTCGAAATTTCTGCGGTCAGCATTCGTTGATCGTTTTGCAATCGATTTCTGTTGGGCAGACCGTATCGCTGTACGTGTTGCCGTTCCTCTGCAACTGCTTGCTGGTGTCGTCGTCGATACTGACGCCGCTGAAGGCCGACGGCAGCTTGAGGATCTTCAAGGACGTTGTTCCTAGTGACTTCGAGTACGTGTTCAAGAGGCACAGCGTCGACAGTAGGCCGGATGATCCGGATTCGAAGGAAAGACGGAGCAACAAGGGATCGTCGTTCATCAGATTCGGCCGTAGCGACCCGGACGGACATGTTGAGAACACGCTCAACGATGAGGTAGACGGGAACTCGCCGGTGAGCAGATATCCGCGCTGGAAGTCGCCGGACATCACGATCAGGTTCGGCAGGTCCGGCTACAAGGCGGTCACCGGTGACAGAGACTACAAGCGTGGAAGGAACGACCTGAATTTCATCAGGTGAGTGCGTTGATTATATAGAAATTAATTGATTCCTGATTACTTGGGATAAGAATGAATCATTTCGAATAGCAATTCATTATTTAGAATACACATTAATCACCTTGAAGAAATCAATTGCCTAGAATAAAAATTAATTATGCAGAATAGAAATTACTCGTGTAGAATAAAAATGAAATATCTGGAATGCAAATTAATTACCTGGAACAAGAATGAATTAGCTACGATATAAATCAGTTACTTAGAATTAATAATTATATAGAAACGTAATCAACCAACAAATTAATGGACGATTTCGAAGTATTCACTTTTGCAATGACAATCTTCGAACATTAGATCCACATACGATCCACAGTTCGTATCATAATATAAATTATATTCCAACGATTCTTCACTGCAAGGAAACGCTCTTAATTTACAATTTAACAATTACTCTACTCTAGAATTGCTTGCTTCATGGTGTAATTTCCCAATCTTTCTAACTTCCTCATTATTCAATACTAATTAACGAGCAAAATGATAAGCAGGGGGTTAAGAATAAACTCGGATTCATCCAGATTACAAGTTTCATTAATCTCAATCTTAATATAAGCCCGAAGACCTTTACATTTCGTGGATTCTCGAGCAACCACCGAGACTATCCCCTAAAATTCCGCTCAGACCTCAAGGAGAGCAGGTTTCGAAGTGAGTGTGTCCAACAGATTCGGCCGGAGCTCGCAGATCTATCCAATGGAAATCGACGTGACAGCGATGTGCTCGGATCTGCTCTTGAACGACGAGATCAAGAACTTACATCCATTCGAGGCGAGGTTACTCCGTCTGTGCAACGTGTTGAGCAACATGGACACCGAGCACAGGAACACCTTGGACTTCCTGGAGGAGCGTGCCGGCGTGAAACAGGAATAAAACAGGGGAACGATCCATCGCGAGCATCATCGGGGACATGTCCGTGTCGAATAGAACGCGAAGAGCCGCGCGAGATACGATTTGTTTGAAATTTTCATGGCCAGGAATGCTGTGATAAGTGTTCGAAGCTTTTACATGTAAGCTGTGTCCATTAGAAAAGATTACCCTTCTCAGTTTCCAATTGAGTAGGTATTAATTGACCGGCTGCTAAACGATCAGCTGTTAAACGATCAGCCATTAATTAACCAACTATCGATTTAACACTTCGACTGCAATCCATCAATTTAGCGGTTTACCATAAACTTAGCAATTAATTTTCTTCGTGTCGTATTTTATTGGGTGAATAATACATGAGAAGATCTTGACTTTTTAGCTTGTGCTTTGTCTGGAAATGTTTGGGAATCTCTTAAGATTAATATAATAGAATATATTAATATAATAATCCAATATAATATATATATATGTATATAATGGACATGACTTGCACAAGGAGGTTTTGAACACTTACCACAGTCGCGCACAATGTCTATCGGACGTCGTGACTCGATCCTGAACATTCTCACGGGCAACGTTATTACATCGGCCGATCTATTCGATTATTGTTCATTGATTCGATTTCGCTTCCATTCCAACCGTGACCCTTCTTCTTTTTAGCGGTATAGAACCGCGATCCGGTTATTATTGTGGCCATTTAAGACCATTTGCGTGGCGGTTCAGCTATATTGCCCGTTGGAATTTAATTTTGGCTTCGGCTTCTGGTTTCACTTTGCTGGGTAGTGCTGAATACTGATTGTTCTTTACGGTTCAGCTGATTCAATTCTAGTCGTTTCATTTAAGTCTAGCCGCTTTATTTAATTTCAGTCACTTCATTTTATTCTAGTCAGTTTATTAAGTTATAGTTATTGTATTTAATCCTAGTCACTTTAGTTTTATAGTTACTGCGAGGTATTTGTGATTAGTTGACAAGACGTTTTATTAGACACGCGATAATGCTCTTCCTTCGAAATGTAACGCAAAAGAGTAAAAACGATACTGACTTGGACTTAGCATCAACTTGACTTACAATTAATATGAACTTCAGCCTGAATTAAACCTTCTCCTTCTTTACTTCGAAGACATCTTCCAAAGACACTTCGGCATTTAAAGGATCAACTATTGATATTTATTTATAATCAATCTCCAAATACCCATACTATTCTCCAACAATTAATTTATAACACCATTCGACTGATTTTATAACATACATTACTGCAAATGTACATAACGACTGAAGAAAGGAGACTGTCCAAGAATATTTAATTTATTATTTCGAAAGCCAAATAAGCACAAAATAATGATTACCAATAGTTAAAAATAAGTTTACGTTATAATTTTGTAGAAACTCGAAAGATAACGTTTATATATAATTATATGATATTATATGACGTTTTATTTTTGTGAGAGACACAAAGGACATCTTCCAAGATGGCCGACGTGTAACGTTGCTCCAAGGTATTCCTTGTACCTATAATGTGCATCCACCTGCTCCGCCGCGTATTCAATGTACATATAAAGATTTAATCATTAAACGGCTTCGATACTGACGACGATCTCGCTGTCTAGATCACTCCCACCGGAAGCTGTGTCGTCATTGTCGACGGCGCGTTCGTCGTTGTTCTATTTTGCGGATTGGCGGACGCACGGAGAAACGCGGCTGAGTCCGTGCGCTATCAACAGTCAATTTTTCATCCGCTGTTCAGATAACGGGGTCGATGGGAAAATGTGTCAGATCAACCCATAAGTTAATGTCGATCTTTTTGTGCTAACTTCTAGTATAAAACATTAATACTCGCGTTCTTTTCCATCGTCGATGCCACTGATCGTCGTTGTGCACGACCTTTCCCTCGTTTTTCGATTAATCGTTTAACGCCACTTTCAAAACGGCGTTGAAAAATACTTTACGAAGCAAGATGGGAGACGTTACTTATGGGATGATCTCATAGGTCCTATTCTGTAAATGTCACAATTATAAAATACCGTTATTAGCCAGACACCCATTACAGTAAAAGAAAATGACCACTGTATTGAGCAAGAAATTCAAACTCATTTGAACAGAAATATTCTTTTGTATAGTAATTAAGTTTTCTGGATGCTTCTTTCGTAGTTTTGGTAATTGTTCTTTTTGGGAAAATGGCGTTCGTTAGAATATCAGAAATCGCAAGATTTATGCCAGAGAAATTCTCTAGATGCTTCATATGTAATTTCGGTAATTATTTTCTGTCCGTGGAAATGGTACTAATTAGAATACCAGACATTGTTAAATTAATGGCAGAGTAGTTGATAGAAGCAATCGTGTTTATTTGAAATTCTGCGTTAAGAGGACGTAGCACGCGGCCATTTTTGGTGTTTCAGTTCGCACTCAAGGTGTAAAAGTGTGTCATAAAAGGGTCAGGCACAATGGACTCAGCCACTTTCCTTCTCGACACCCTCCAATTACGATAGGGGTTAGAATTACGGTAATGCGCATTGTCTGTAACCTTAAACGTCGTTCTTAAAGTGAATGTAAATTTAATACGCGTATACATTAAAGGAAAAAAAGTGGCTGGAAAAGTGGTTCTTATCTCTTGCATGTAATACCCTTTCTTATGGAAAAATACACCCCCACCTTCAGCTTGTTTCTGTTGGACAAATCAGAAGTTATTACCTTTTAACCACCATTGACCCTGAAAAACTGTACGTATAATTTTCTATCCGCAGTAACATATATTTTTCTTACGGAATTTTCAATTTCCCGTTACCAATTTTCTCAATCTATTGAAAAACAGCATTGCATGGACGCAACACTCTATTATTAACAGTTAAAACATAAATATTCATATACATTTCAATGTTTGCAGTCCTGATTTGCGAATCTGGAGAAACACACAATTACTATAATAAAATAAAATTATCCACGCTCCGTTAATGACATTTATCTAAATTACATTGCGTTCATTTCAGAACGATTCACGTAGCAAGTATTATTCCAAAATTTCTCTTCTTAGACTTTCGTTCTTATCAAATTTACGTGAAGTCGTAATGGTAATTTTCTTTATTGTTTCAGTCCTTTTTTTGTTGTTTCATAATAATGAAATAGAGTATGGTAGTAGACACTGATGGAGAAGATTTAGCTGGAAGGAAATGTGTTGATCCCTGTACCTGTGGGACGTCATCCAACACTATTTTCATCACAGATTAAAAGAAACGAGGTCCCCAAGTTACGTTTTCATCTTACGTCCCTCCCATAACCGAGCCATTCCTCTCAATTTCAACCGAATCTGTCCTGTGGTCTGATCACGTACAGGATGATCCCCTCGCCGCCTAAATATTGGCCCACGCAGCGTACAAAATGGCGGATTACAAGATGTACGTGGTTAACGAAGAATAATGTGCTTTTATTTTCTGTATTCAACCCCCTCTTTTCCCCATATCTTCTGCTCTTCAACGTGTAGGGTTAACGAGACGCCTATTGGTCTTAAAGATACGAACGAAAACTTCGTGATCTTCTTAAATTTAATAATAATTACTACTATCAATATTATAGTGATCTCGGACGAGCCCCCAAGTTTATAGTGGGGTTACTATTATTATAGAAAAGGTGGATCTTTGGTAAAAAGAGAATTAGGAATAAATATATGTATTTAATGAGATAAGGAAACAATATGGACAACACGTAAAAATACAACTCAATGCCACGAAGGCCAACACACGACTCGCTATCACGCACAAAATGTTCCTCTCCGCTGTCTCTCACCAAAATGTCCTTCACGCACGCATTCCCACTTGCTTTTAACACACACCCCCATTCGCTCTGTCTTTCTCACCCTTGCACCCTTCTCACTCGCATCTTTCGTCCATAGTCAAAACTCACGCAGTCACGTACACGCTTTTCTCACGGTCCAGTCGCTCAGTTCCAGACACTCTTCCTCGTATTCTTTCAGCCACTCGAGATTTTCTAAACGCAGTCACACTATTTTCCAAACATCCTGTCGCCGGTCCGTCGCGATACGACCTGGTCGCCCTTACGCACGCGCAACAAACCATTCATCCTACAATACTTTATCCTACGCTAAATAATTCTAGATACTCCAATATTTACTATTGCTAACTATTAATACTTCCAAAATACAAGTATAACAAATTTGTTCTCTTTCGTCGTATAGCTATAAAAAAATTCTGTCAGCTAACCGACTTGGATATTGCCTGCAGCACCAGTTGTAACATAACGCTCACTCTTCGAATTCACAGCTTCAATAATCCTTTCTTAACGAACAGAGACTAAAAAGTGAAAACTCTCCATAGCAATAATTCCATTATTTTCCCAGATCCAAGAAAATTCAAGAAAATCAATGTTTAACACGTTAAGCGCCATGTCAGTCACCGGCGACTAGAAAACGATCGTAACGTACAAGATAACCGATGTGAAATGAAAATGTTTAATAACGTAACTATGATAACAGTGTAACGCAAACATTGTAACGCTAAATAATTAATAATTGTTCTTTCCTTTGCTACAGAAGAAAAACTCTACGGGAGAACGCTTAAGATTTTCGTGGCGCTTAACGTGTCAATCTTGTAAACTGTATCGCCTGAATTCGAATACCACGACGATCAAAGCATTAATCATTGATTGTGTCTTCTCGGCTATTATTTACATCTTTCTCCCGCTGTTCGAAAGAAGCCATTCCCCGTCTGTCATTCGAAAAATAGAAATTCGCAGAAATTCGCGAAGACGATCGTTCGCCGAGCGTTAATCCGAGGGAGTCCTATAGTTATAGGCCTGATCGCGCGAGCCTGGCCAGGTCTCGTGCACGTGGATGCGCAATGTGATAGACAGAGCAGGCTCGCACACAGTTTAGAATACGACCCACGTGTTTGTGCCTAATCCATGCCCCGGCTGACCGACGTGCTAAGGCTTCCCTGAACTATGTAGAGCTGGTGAACGCACGGTTTTCCCTTTATTCGGTATCGTTCGCGCGATCCAGCTCCCCAGGCCGACCATCATCTCTGCGACCTGCTCCCTGGTGCCATGGGCTCCCGTTGACCTGCGACCCTCTAACCAGGTACAATCTCTAGAACACCGTGTAGAAGTTTGCTGGCACAGGTGGAAGACAGTTTCTGGTAGTCATTGTTCCTGGATTAATACGTCGACCGCCACGAGAATTTCTAGCGTTTTGTATAGTAATACTGATTTCTTAATAAGAAAGGCAAATGGTGTTGAAAAGAATGAATGATTCGGTATTACGCTAGTCACATTACACTATTATCTAGCTATTTATGTATCTAAATATTTCTATTCGACATCAATCGTTTTATTGCAATTGTTCTTCAGCAATTTGGAAGCTTCGGTCATCGGTGACTGCCGTGACAGTCAACGTGTTAAATAGTTCACTGTGTTCAATGAGTATACTCGTAATTTTAAAATCTAAAATAATACTGCTTTTCTTAGTAATTATTTTTTTCATCACATGGACATATAGTTTTTCCATTTAGCTTTAGCCTTTTGGTTTAATGTATATTGGATGGATTCGATTTGCGATCGACGTGTATACTCGTTGGTTGATTTTATTACATGGCTCACGAGAGATTTGAAACTAAATTCCATGGTTAAGTGGAATTGATATTGTCCCTATTCATACTAGACTCACGGATGTTTATCGGACATTTTATTTTATTGTTCTTAGAGAAACAGGTGTCCATTCGGGCATTGATTAAAATTTAATAAAAACTTGCGCCGACTAATATTTATGAAATTTAATATTCATTAAATTGATGGATCCCTGGGAGTTTGATCGAATGATCTTTGATACTGTTGTAGCCAGTAGAAGAATAAAGGATTAAAGTAGTTAATTAGAGTATAGTGGCAGTCTATTAGGTGTTTAATTACACACTAGTTTTTTATGTGGAAGATCTTTCATACGATGAAAGTTGAAAGAAGGAAGCCCAAAATAGTGTTAGAACGTAGGTCTAAAAAATAATTAACTAAGGAAAATGAAAAAAGGGGTAAGAACGTAGGTCTAAAAAATAACTAAATAAGGAAAATGAAAAAAGTGTTAGAACGTAGGTCCAAAAAATAACTAACACCTTTTTCATTTTTCGTTAAAATCGGTTTACCGAGTGTCCACTTGAAATTCGAGGAAACCAGTAAAAACTGCAACTGCGACTATGACACATTGACATTCTAGAGTGTCGTGTATGTCGAGCAGGAAGATCAAATAGGCGAAAATTACGCTGCGGCGACCGTCAAAACTCGCGTAACGAAAAACGCGACAGTCACGTATCTCGTTCGGCTTATTTTCAAAAAAGAAACTTGAAGGTAACGTCATCCATCGATAAAACTGATCGATATTGAAAATGGGAAAAGAATTCTAAAAACATAAGTTTCACAGAAAACAAAATTTGAACGAAACTAAGTAGTTGCTATTAAATCCTTTAGTAATACTCTTTATTCCAGTAGATATTAATTAATAATAATCAGTAAGAAAATATTAAACATTTCGAATTCCAAATAGAAATACAGATTTGTTTATTTAAAGAAAGTTACATTTATTCTACAAGAAACCCACCCATTACTCATAGAAACTAGATTGCGACCATCAGCTCCTCGAAAGTAACTATTTTTATATACGTTTCCATTCACCAAAAAAATATTTTTCATTAATTAAAACTAACAGCTTTTCTGAACATTTCCCAACAGTTAGAATAAAATGTTGTTCCCGTTCGTCAATTACTTACCATTTGTAATGATCACGATAAAACGGCGATGGTTTTACGGTTTTACGGTCTGTCTGGAACGCAGTCGACTTCTACTACTTGGCCGTTCGATCGCGAGCTTTCATTCCATTTAATTCGAGAACGCGGCGCTGGAAACCCGTGTTCTTTTAACCTGGAAAAAAAGTAATGCCTGAGAACTGTGCTAATCGCGGTGTTCCAATTGACCGGCCGATTCGATATCGAATTATGGATTTGCGATCCACAGCCGTGACGTGTTCGGGCTCACGAGATTATCTCGGGTTCGTTACATCGAAATCTTGTAATCTGGCTGCGGCTCCAATCCTGCGATACAACTTGTAATCCATCGTACCTTTCCAAAATTATATATTCCGTGGATTATTAAGAATATTTATTGACAATCTATATGGAGGACATTGCTAAAGTTAAAGATTAACTCTACAAATAATAGTTGCATCATTTGAATAAAATTGCACGTAAAACTAATGTCACTAAGATTATTCTACGATATTATTAATCTATACAATTACTCTGTTTTCATAAGTTAAATATAAATCACACAGAAATCTATAATGGAAAATATAATAAAATATAAATATAATACAGAAAATATGATAAATCATAAGCCTAATATAATAGAAAAACTAGATATAATAAATCACAAAGATTCCTTCGAGATAAATCGGTCGAAAACGTTGCGCAAAAATTGAAATCAGAGAACTCGGACTCGGGTTGCCTCTTTCCCGAGGAAAAATGGCGGTCGCGCCGGCAGCCGAAATAATGGCGGGCGATTAGGCAGACATCCCACGCGGCCGGTTGCTCGACAGCCGCTCAGGATTATCTGGTTGTGCGTAGGTGTATCCGGGATCGATGAACCAAGCCGTGGCGGCATTGTCTTTGGTCCCGTCGATAGATTTCCGCGGAAGGGAGCCATGAATCCGTCCGAGTCGCAGCAAAATCTCCTCGCGAATGAGGCGAGAGCGCCTTCGGAGCAATCGTTAACGCCGCCCCAGGACTATAGTCTTGGCCCAGTTGAGAAGCACTTCCTGCTCAGCGCGGAACGAGGTGATTGTGCCACTGTCAAAAGGTAATCCGACCACCAGATGATAAATCGTCAACCTGAGACCGCGAATCAAGGGTACCCCGTGAAGGGAATCATCTGTTCCCTCGGACGAATCGCTCCCGGATCCTTGTTTCGCGCTTTTTAATTCTCTATCTGTTTATTTTTATCTTCTCCTTTAACACCTCGCTGTGGGAGGACCCGAAATGAAGACTTCTATACTCAATTTAGCGTAGAAAGTAGAAAATTTGTATACAAATTGATGTTTCCTGCACATAAATGCGAATTCAGCTGTTCCTTTACTTGCGAAGCAAATTACGCTTAGAATTTCTTTCCTGCGAATTGTTAACGGTGAAATTTATTTAATGAGTATGATTAGGAAGATCTAACGGCAGAGTTGGAAAAGGACCGCGTTAGCTAGATCAGGCTTCGGTTTCATTCAATAAGGTCGTGTTTCGATCTTGCGTGCTAAAGATTATCAAGATAATCAGTTTTGTATGAAATACTAGTTGAGTCCAGTAGCTTTAGTTGAGTCTAGCAATTGAGCCCAGTTACTCGTTGAAGCTGTAAGTTTCGAACAGGTTATTGGAAGAGAACAAGGACCATCCGGAAATCTTGAACATCGATTGCGTGGACCCGCTGAACAGATCGGCGCTGATCGCTGCGATCGAGAATGAGAACATTGAACTTATCAAGCTGCTTCTAGAACTGGGAATTCAAGTAAAGGTACCGCAAATTAATTCTCTATTATCCGATTAATTCTGTTTACATGGGCATTTGGGAGAGTTTAAAGACTTCAACTCCAACTTAGTAAACTCCTCAGCTTCATAAATGATAAAAGGGAAACAGAAATAAATTATTTATTAATTAATTCTATTCACGCGAACATTTCGAAGCATGTAAAGACTTCAAGTTGAAATTAGTAAACTCCTTTAACTCAATGAACTCTTCAGCCTTATAAACGATAATAAAAGAATGCAGGCAAATATTCAAAAACAAATAATGAGAGAATGATTATAAAGAATTAGAGTAAAAATTTACTGGAACCACGTTCCACTGGAACTTCGCGGTTCGCGCTCACTCTGCGAATAATTTCGTTTCCTGTTTCCTACCTGTCCCGACACGAATTACGACCGAATGCGTCGGTTTCGTCTATATTTCACGGGACGCAACGAGAATGGAGCTGCAGGGCGTGGATACTCGATAAAGTGTCCACCGTTGGGACCTCGCGTTTAAAAGCGCGGCACACACCGGACATAATTCCTCGGTCTTCCTTCAGGATGCACTCTTACACGCCATAAAGGAGGAGTACGTGGAAGCTGTGGAAATCCTGCTGGAATGGGAGGAGAGGACACATACACCGGGACAGCCTTACGTGAGTTCAACAGGTTTACCGTGCCAGCAGAGCATCCCCTTTAACGTTGCAACTATCACAGTCAAAATGACTGATGTTTAATCTGTTTTTTTTTTCTATTATTATTGACAAGATAGAGTTGGGTATCTGAGAAGTTTTTGAGTAAACTTAGAACGATATAGTGGAACATCCTTTTTAACACTGGGAGTATCAAACCAGACAAAATAATTACTAATTTATTTTTTGACTATTATTAGAAAGATACGATTGAATATTTGAGAAGTTTTTAAGTGAAATTGAAATGATCCAGCAGAGTATTTTTAACGCTGGGATCACCAAATGAGTAAAAATAATAAATTACTAATTTGTGTTTTGACTATTATTGAAAAAATAATATAATATATAATGTAAATAGAATGAAAATAATAAAAATAATATATGTTATGAGTATTACTAATTTGTTTCTTTTATTGTGACTGAAAAGAGACTAATGCTTCTGTGAGACATTCTTAAATGAATTTTAATTATTACAGTAACACGTTAATAATTATATATACGTAGATGGGATTCGTCTCTGACTTTCGATTCAGAATACGTCTGCCTAATACTTGATATTTCTACTTGCTGCTTGTATCCTACGTGTTTGCACGTTTGTTTAGTAACCTACGTTTATAGATTTGCTTTTTCGTTCTAGAGTTGGGAGGCTGTCGACAGATCATCGTCCAACTTCACACCCGACATAACACCGCTGATTTTGGCCGCACATAAGAACAACTACGAAATTTTGAAAATATTACTCGACCGTGGCGCGACCCTTCCCACACCTCATGACGCCAGGTATCGCTTTGAATTCGTTAAACCTGTTTCTTCGTTATTAATACTTAATAAATGCTTCTTTAATAATAATTCTTTATCCACCTGCAGCAAATACTATTGAAAGAAGCTGAACAACACAAAGATTTCAAGAAAGTTTCACATATTCAATATTTCTCTTTGAGTGCGCAACAATATATTTTATTTTCTGTTTGTCGATTTATCATATTTTATATTTCTTCAATCCACTTGATATTCTTCTCGATGCATAAAGATTAAGAAAAAAAAGAACAGTCGCGATCATCGGAACGTTTCCAAACAATGGAAAGAATAATTCGATAACGACTGAGACACGTGTTTCCGATTCAATGATTCATATCGAATCGTGCAAAATGGAAGAGAGATTATTCGCCACCCGCTCGAGCGAATCATTTCCGTTGTCATTGACCCAGTAATGGGAGCCGTGACATCGAACGGCACGCTCTCTTCGAGCGCAGTCATACAGGGAGCGGTTGTCTAAAACGGTGTTAAGTCCAGAATTATAAATCGAAGTCGACCGGTTATTCCAGAGTTATTTGGCTTCGTGTCAATACTCGGCCTGTCGCCTGTGACACCGTTATTCGATTAAGAGTCCTAATTATGTTATTGAAAAACTGGCACGTGCTCATACCAAAACGTGCCGGTATTCTGCGCGCAAGTTCTCTCGGGACCGATGTACATAGTTCCTGACTGAAAAACGAAAACGTAACAAATCCTTCGAATCCATCTTCTGCCACAAATGGAACCTGTCTTCCTAGTTTTCTATTTTTCACTGAAATAACAGTTTCTTTTGTTTCATATTTTTGAAGTAAAATTTTTACTAATTTTTACTTAATTTTTTACTTAACACGTTGAGTGCCTCACGATTTTATAAAGCAAGGTACAGAAAATGGGAAAAATATGATATTGAATCATTTGATTGAATTGCGTTATCATTATCGCACGTTCTTCTAGTTGAATGTCAGAAAATTAGGTAGCATTATTTGTAATATAGAGATGTTTCCAAATAATCGTCGTTCCACTGAGTGAACTATAGTGATTCAATTTGGTTGGGGTCACCGGTGACCCCTATGGCATTCAACGTGTTAAATACTAACAGTAGCAATTAAAATTGAAAATTTCGAAAGTTTTTACTGTTATATTAAGTTTCTACTATTTAACCATTTAAGTTATAGTTAGAGCATTCGTGGAAAATTCGAAAATGAAAAATTGCCAACGTTGTACAGTATTTTTTATAGTATTTATTGAGAAGAACTATTTTTTAATTATATTTTTCTAATTATATTCTTAAAGTAGTGCAGTTATAATACTATGTCTTATAATTATAGTTAAGTGTTAATAATAAGGATAATAGTTTAATAATAATCATTCACCATATGAGTTCAGAATGATCGGACAAATTGAATCATTGATGTTGTCAGATGCGGCTGCGACGAATGCGTGACATCCAGCGAACAGGACTCCCTGAGACACTCTCAGGCCCGAATAAACGCGTATCGCGCGCTAACGTCGCCATCTTTGATCGCCCTGTCCTCGAGGGATCCTCTTTTAACTGCGTTCGAGCTTTCCTGGGAGTTACGACGACTCAGTAAAATGGAGCAGGAATTTCGTTTCGAGTACAACGTAATTCGCAAATCAGATATTTTATTAAAATCCAGAATTTAAATAATCGACCGTCAAAGGTTAACACGTTGACCGCCACGGTGGTCACCGATGGCCGGAGTTTCCAAATTGTTTGAAAACAATTGCAATAAGAAAATTGATATTGAATCGAAATATTTAGTAACACCAGAAGCTAGACGATAGTGTAATAAGAGTACCGTGATGCCAAAAAATTAATAATTATTTCTAATACTATTGTCCTCTGTCATAAAGGAATAAATCTTACTGTAACAAAATGTTCGAGATTCTCGCGGCAGTCAACGTGTTAAAACGATCAGATTTTTCAGCTGTTGAAAAGAATTTGGACGCTTGTTTCTTTAAGTTACCTGTAAATTGATGATCGGATGCTTCAAAGTGCTTTAAGCTTGAAATATTCCCTTTCTTGTGACTCGAAAATCATTTGTTTACAGGAGATGAAGGAGCAGACGCAGAATTTCGCTACAGCGTTGCTGGATCACGCACGCACGTCCCTGGAACTAGAGATAATGCTGAATTATAATCCGCACGGCGACAACTGGGAACCTGGAGAACGGCAGACGCTGGACCGTCTTAAACTTGCGATCAAGTATAAGCAGAAACAAGTAAGATTGTATTTGAACCACCTCCGAAACTCTATTGCAACGAAAACTCTATTGATACAACAATGTTCATTGTACAATACTAGAAATCTAGTCCTAGTTAAGACGTGTAATTAAGATGTGTAATCCTCGTAAAATTTGTGACAATAGAATTTGTTCAGTTTCGTCAGATATGTATTTGTTATAGTATTCAAGTGAAACTATTTTTTTGAATCGTTACAGTCATTTAATACCTTCAGAATATCAATAATTGCGAAATTAGAAAATTAGTCACTTTGACTGCTGCAATAGTTCTACTGTTAACGATATTAATATTAAACTATAAGGTTAATATCAACATTAGAATTAGAGTATTCGTTAGAAGATAATAAAGGAATTGTCAATTTCATTTTAAAGTTACAATAAATGAAGGATATTGTTTGCAATTGAAACAAAACCAATGAAAATATCTGTGCTCGATTTCAATGTATATTAGTTTTAAAATGTCCTGTTAAGGATTTAGTATGGTTTTTAATATATTCACCTTTGTCAACAAGTTCGTGGCACATCCAAACGTGCAACAATTGCTGGCCGCAATCTGGTACGACGGTTTGCCTGGTTTCCGGAGGAAAAGCATGATCGGGCAGTTCATCGAGATCGGTAAACTAGGCGCCATGTTTCCGGTGTACAGTACGATCTACATGATATCACCGACCTCTCCGATGGGCCAGTTCATGAAGAAACCTTTCGTCAAGTTTATCTGTCACTCCTCTTCATACGCTTTCTTCTTGAGTAAGACATCCTTGGAAATCGGTAGCAATTAGATCCTTGGGAAATCTCACGAGCAAACGATAAAAGAATTATAATCTACAATCTATGTTTAAATTTTTAGATTCATTTTAAAATAAATCTATATACCCTATGAATAATCTATTAACTATTCTACGATTGAATTACATACAGTGCCAGAAGTATGTATCGTTGATTTGAATAAACGAGATTTCATTTGAATATTTCCAAAAAAAAGTTCCCAAAATTAAGAATCAAGTTTTTGGGCTAGTGGGGATAATTCTTTGGTATATAATTATTCACAGAATTTCCCTCGGAGCAGTAGCGAGTTAAAAGGATTAGCCCTTAAATAATTGCGTTATAACATGCAACGAGATACGAACTGATTAAAATTTCTCTGACAGTGCTGCTCGGCATGGCATCGCAACGCATCGAGTACCTGATAATCGAATTGTTCGGGAACGCGTGGATGCACGAGATTCTCGCCGGCTGGAAGAGACGGGAACGTGGTTGCATCCCCGGTTTCGTCGAGAGCGGTGTCATCATCTACGTAATCAGTAAACAGCTCTGACTAAAGCTTCGAACGAACGACACGACCTTTTGCGGGATTCCTCTGAACCGTGGATTTTTATCATCACATTGGGAAATTTTCATAAATTCATCGGATCTTGAAATTACGAAATCACGGATGCAATAGATCTTTTATGACTTAGTAGATCTTCCGTAGAAAGATTTGAAAACATCGGCGTTCCATTTGAAAGTTCGAGAATTTAAAGATTCAGAGATTTGAAGATTTGGAAACTTGGGAAATCAGAAGATTGGTGAATTGGAAAGTTGAAAATTTGGAATCTCGGGAAAATTGGGAAATTAGAAACTTGGAATCTCGGGAAAATTGGGAAATTGGAAATTTGGATATTTGGAATCTCGGGAAAATTGGGAAATTGGAAATTTGAAATTTAAATAATCATAGCTTAAATTCTCCAGGAAAATTCGAAGTTTTACAACGAGTCTGATTATTCTAGGTTTAGTCATGGGAGAAATGCGATCATTATGGTCGGACGGGCTGATAGAGTATATATCGGACCTTTGGAACATTGTCGACTTCATTCAAAATGTGTTTTACGTTATATGGATCATGTTGAGGGTCACTGCTTGGATCATAGTGCAAGTACGTTCTCTACCTCTAACCCTTCCAATTTATAAAGCATGAACATAAACCTTGAAATCTTTCCAATCGTATAAGAAACATTTTAATTAACAAATCCGACGGATCAGATTCCTTGATCTCTATAGAATCTTATCAAATTGGAATTCCAGAACAATCAAGATAACACAGTTAAATAAGAACCTTCGATTCGCAATTGTTTAATCTATTTATTGCTCGTTGAAGCGTATTTTTATCACTATTGTTATCATCGTATCAATTTTTCTTAACAGAGAGAGTACTGGAGTGGTTCAGATCCTTGGTACCCAAGAGATCAATGGCACGCCTTCGATCCCATGCTGCTCTCAGAAGGAGCTTTCGCTGCCGGAATGATCTTCAGGTAAACTCCTTAATCCTCTCCGCAATTAAAACAAAACGTTCACAATCATCGTAAAATATAATCTAATTAACCTTCAGGGCACGAAAGATTTGCTAAAAAAATCAAAAGGAACTAAAAATGAGAATCAATCATATAGAAAAATAAACATAAATAAATCTAGGTACTAATATTCCATCAAAATGAACGCAACAATACATCATTTACCTTATTTAAACTAATAACTCCTAGATACAGGAAAAAGAATATATCTTGCAACTTTATTATTAAACAAAATGAACAGAGGCCAGTTGTCATTTTCCAAGCATTCAACATAATTGAGAAAGATCGCCCAGTAGAACAGCCGAATAAATAAACAAACGCATCGTTTACAGCTTTTTGAAGCTGGTCCATATATTCAGCGTGAACCCCCACCTTGGGCCACTCCAAATTTCCCTGGGGAGAATGATAATAGACATTATCAAGTTCTTCTTCATCTACACGCTGGTGCTGTTCGCCTTCGGCTGCGGTGAGCATCCCGGCGACGGTTTATTTATTCATCGGCCGCGGTCCTGTCAAGCCTGCACACTTGTTCGCACCTTCGGGGCCGATTCTTTCCGTAACCCTTTCGAGCCTATTGAGACGCGGATGTCAAGTTTGCGTAGACGCTGCCAATCTATTAACCCTTCCACTCGGAAGTTTCTCGCTGGAAATATTTAATATTTTTTGACAACACAATGACGATGTTCTGCGGAACTCAAAGGGAAATCACAAGTACATTGGGGAACGAAGCTGTTTTATTCCAACATTTCACGTATCGAGGCATTATACAAAGTTCAACGTTAAATATCGTGCAAAGGGTTAAGAATTCTTTGCACTCTGCTTCTTTGTTAATCTAACCATTTGAGCGTCGAGCGTTCTCCATTGCATCGTCTAAAAGTGCTAACCTATCCATTCGTAGGCTCACATTAAGTTTATTTATTTTTGTTCCTTCTAATTATTTATTTTCACCTTTGTTATTATCTGCTTAGAAATGGAGAAACGGATCGCGCTATTCACGATTTTTTTTGTAAACAGCGTAATTCAGTTTCTGAACTGAAACGATTAAGCGATTAACACTAGAACTACCGAGCAGTAAAATTGATTATTCTGTATTTCCTTATAAAATGTATAAAAATATATTTAACGAGTGTACGATTTCCATATATTCTAGTTTGTATTTATCTAAATCAATGAACTATTATTGCGAAAGAAGTGACACGAAATAGGTGATTTTGACCCATTTGGTTGTTCTAGTGTTAAAGAACATAATCGAATATCATCGTTTCTCATTGTTGAAAAGTTAATTAAGTGTCAAGTGTCTATGTGGTAATATTAGTTGTAGATCATTTTTTACGAAATGCTCTCGAAACATCTTCCTCGAAAGGGTTAAACGTTCCAGGCAACGCGTCTACCTTTCGTCAAATCGAATCCTCGATTAACCATGGGACAACTTAGATCCTCGAAATTGAAATGTTCTTTTTGGGAATCTTGTTTAGGAATGAATCAATTGATGTGGTATTATGCTGACTTGGAGAAGATGAAGTGCTACCATATGAAGGACTTCCCCGACCTGCCCGACTTCGACAATCAGGAGAAAGCGTGTTCGATTTGGAGACGTTTCGCTAAGTATGGGAAAAAGGCAGAAAATATTAGTAATATCAATGTAAAAGTATAAAGTAGACAAATGATGTTAATCTTCCACGAAAGTTCAATTTTATCTTCTTGTTTCCTTTTATTGTTTTCTAACGATTTCTCTCGAATAGGAAGAGTTCAATGTTTTCCTTTGTTCCGGTGAACAATTTATAGATTATAAATAACGGTAATTGCAATAACTTCGGATACTAGTTATTATTGTTTATACTATATGTCAAATAACAATTATTATTTTATGTTAGCAATTTTATATATGATTCTTGAATCTCCTAGGAAAAAATTGATTTTGAGATTAATGAATCGCAACGGTGAAATTAGGTTTTATGAGATACAAAGATGGTATTGAATAAAATATGAAACTCAAAGGAAACTGTATTTATCTACGAAAACGATGAAGTGTCGTTGAATGATTTTAGTTTATTCGAGACGTCGCAGTCACTGTTCTGGGCCAGTTTCGGGATGGTGGACCTGATGTCGTTCGATCTGACGGGAATCAAGAGCTTCACGAGATTTTGGGCGCTTCTGATGTTCGGCTCTTACTCGGTGATCAACGTTATCGTCTTGCTGAACATGCTGATCGCTATGATGTCGAACTCTTATCAGATCATCTCGGTACGTGGATCATTGTTGCGTCGTCGCGTAGGTTATTTGTATCGAGAAATCGACCATCAGATAACATTAATTGATCCGGATTCAATCGACCGGCAAATTTAGAACGGAGATTCAATTAACTCGTGTAGAATTTGTTGTCCATTCTGGTATGTGATAGATTAGATACACGACTGATCCAGATAAGTCTGATTACGAGATCGATCATACAATCGAGTGTAAAAAAATCAAATATAAATAACAGAGTCTGGATTTCGTCTGTCTTTTGTTTACTTTTCGGATAAATTGATTATTTTAAGCAGTACATATTTTGATTATACTTTGCATAATTTAGAATAATTGAAACGATACGATTTATTGTAATATAATTTACATCTTTCTCTGTACTCAGTAGTGAATAGTTTACGATTAACTTTGAACAGGTTAAAAGGTGAAACACGTGTAAAATATGAAATTGAAATCAAGTGAAATATTACACTAACGTCTTAATTATTAGGATAAATATTAAAAGATAATACTGAAGTATTGTATTAAGAATTATCTTCTGTCTGGTTGTAAAGTGTTATATAAAAATGATTTATTGTGGATTATGTGCTCAGGAACGAGCTGATACGGAATGGAAGTTCGCCAGGAGCCACCTGTGGATGAGCTACTTCGAAGATGGCGATACAGTGCCGCCTCCTTTCAACATGGTACCCACCGGGAAGTCGTTCAATAAAGTCCTTAATTGCGGTAAAGGGGCTCGACAGACGAGATCATTGATCGTAAGTCATTGTAAACTTATAACTCACGTAACAATAACACTAGCTAAATTTCAAAATAAAACTAATAAATAAGCTGACACTGAAACAATAGCTTTTAATTTCTTTTCTTTGCTCAGTGATCATCATTTCAAATTTGAAAGTTCTTTGTATTAATAACCGAATCATTCGTTCGCATAATCTGAAAATCACTAATTATCAAATATACTACACAGTTGTTACGAATTAAAATATAAAGTTCTCGCGTAACCGCTGTACGTTGCTTTTGAAATTCCGCGAATGCGACTGGGAATGAAAATTAATTGACGGAATTAAGAAGACACTTTCTCCTATGATAAACGATAGAAAAAGTCGAGGGAGAAAGCGTTGGCGAGACACGAAACGGTGATGAGGCTGTTGATCCGTCGCTACGTGACCGCGGAACAAAGGAAACGGGACGAGTTCGGTATCACGGAGGACGACGTCATGGAGATCCGGCAGGACATCTCCACCCTTAGGTACGAGCTGATCGACATCCTCCGGCAGAACGGGATGAGGACGCCGCACGTTGACAAGCAAGACGCGGCACGTAAGTGTGTCAACCATTTGCAACAACTGAAAAATAGTTTATCTACCGTTCCCCTAAACGAATGAGTTTGTTCGTTTCAACGAACATTCCCACTGCAGCGTTGCGTTTGGAGATTATCATTTTAGCTACCAGTCGTCTAATAGCTACCTAAAATCTTAACGCTTAATCGCCAAGGATTTCTTTGCAAACTTTACGATAGCTATGTTAAGTGACGATAAGTTACAATAAGAAGTAATATAATCCAATAATATTGGCAAAAAGGAATGATCAACTTTGATATAGTGTACTTATTCAGAAACCTACTAATAGCTTTCCAATACAAAGCATTTACTATTCCTAACGGATTTCGCACAAATCGTGCAGTAGCCACGTTAAATTACAACTGTAAGCTAACAAATATTATTCACTGCAACGTACTAAATTTCAATGTAGTATTCTGACACAGCATAGTCATTGAGAAACTATTATACGAGAGGAGCAAACAAAACATATCTTCCTCAGTGTCCGGCAAAAAGGGTCGAGTGATGGAACGTCGCCTCCAGAAGGACTTCCAGATCGGCATAGTGGAGGGTATCGTGAATGCAGTGATCCAAAGCGAGAAGGAGCCGAAGGACGTGTTCAGTCAAATCGCAAAGGCGATCGGCCGGAAGAGCAGCGGCAGCAAGAAGAAGGATTGGAACGCGGTGGTCCGCAAGAACACGATCGCCAGGGATCCCATTGGCAGCACGACGGAAGCTACGATGAAGCAAACGCGACGAAGCATCCGTCGGAACATCGCGATGAGCCAGAACTCTGACCTCGCCTCGCTGGATCCGAACCGTTTGATCGACTACAACCCGAATCTGTCGGAGGTCACGCCCACCACCAGGATCGCGTACGCCAAGTTCATGATGAGCAAGATTAAGATTCCCGAGGAGGCAACAGGTAAATCATCCTCCTTCCTGTTTATACTAGAATTCCTCGAGACGCTACTATCGGTCGACATTTTATTTTATACAGCTTTACTATGATATTTAGTGTATTGATACTCTACACAAGTGTTTCTCAATAATTTTTGTACTATGCCCCACTTAAGCCTTTCTAAAATTCTTATGCTACCCTATGTAACATATATAATGTTTAATATTATATTATAATATTTTTATAATATTTTTGCTATTTTGTTTACGTGCGTAAATGTGAAATGTATTGTGAAATATATGAAGCGATATTTCAAATTTCAAATTGCCCCCTCTACACAAAGCTTAATGTTGAATACGAAAGTACAGAATGTAAGGAACAGAACTGATTTATTTCGTGCATTGATACGTTACACGAAGCTGAATATTGAATATCAAAGTATAAAATGCACTTCTACTCCTTGAAACTAGAACTACCGAGTACTTGAACTGTCTTTTGAACATTTCTTTATGACAGCTATAAGCGTGAATTTATTAAGATTTCAGTTAGCTTATATTTCAGTTTAGGTATTGCTAAATCAGCTTCTTTAATCGTTTCTTAAAGAAGTATCTGTGCCTTCGCAGTAATTCTAAAAGATGAAATTAGGAATTGGTCATTTTGACCCATCTGGTAGTTCTATTCTTAATTCACATGTCGCTTCTCCTTAACCAGTTAACTGTGTAACTTAGTTGGAAGAACCTCTCGTTCTGCGCGCAATAAAATAAAAAAATGAAACGTGTACTCATCGAACGCAGGACGAATGCACGTAGAGTATATTTTAATGAAAGATCAAAGCGAAACAAAGAAGAATTACATGTTTATGTAGAAAAATAAAGAATTCATCGGTGAAAGAATTAGTATCGTGTCAAGCTTTACGATGACGTGTGTACTCGTCGAACACAGTTAACTGGTTAAGAATCCCTTTCGAAGATCTCACCGATATTTCATTAGAAAACGATGAACCCATACAGCGAACGAACGTTCGGCTGCAAAGGTTTAAAAGAATTGAAATGACTGTATTAACTTCAGAAGAGGCGCAAAAGGAAGGTGGCGGCGAAGGTTCGGGCAGCGCTCCTAGGGTGAGCATTCGGGTTGGAGGAGCGGACCCGCCTCGTTTGATGGGCCCAGCGTTGAGGAAAAGCGTGCTGAAGTCTCTGAGCGTGAGCAGCATAGACAAAGACAAGGCAGCGGACAAGACTCCGTCGCCAACGGATAGTAAATCGGATTTTAGAGCTCCGTCGCCGATCCCTGAGGACCCAAGGGAAGACGACGCGACGAAATCGCCGCAGGGTAAAGCTACGGCCGCGAAGAAGCCGCCGGACACTAGCCAGAAAAAAGATGGCGACGACAAGAAGAAAGATGGCGGCGACAAGAAGCAAGAGGACGACGAGGAGAAGAAGAAGAAGGAAGAGGAGGAGAAGAAGAAGAAAGAGGAAGAAGAGAAGAAGAAGAAAGAAGAAGAGAAAAAGAAGAAAGAACCGAAATCGCAAGAAGAAAATGTACCGGTCGCCACCACGAAACTCAGAGGAAAATCGAAAGCCACCGGCCAGATAATGGGCGGGTGGATCTGAATCTGCGTCTCTATCGTTATCTAGATTGGCCGATTGGTTTCTTGAGAATCTGAGATTGACGTCAATGTCGGGGATTCATAAGAAATTTAGAAAAGTGGATACAAGAACGGAAAATTAGTTTCTAATATATCGATCGATTAATGTATCAGTTAATATTGAATCTATTTCTTTATTATTCAAATGAAATTCGATGCTTCTAATGTCAACATTGAGTAAATATTGGGCGTTGTTTATTTTCGTCGACATCTATTTCTCGGAACATGGAGTGATAACGTTAATTCGAAATCGATTACGGTCATTCCGATCTCAGATTAGACGCGCACGTCTCGCAATGTTGATCCCAGATCTAGATTAAACCGCGATTCTTTAGCAGTTCATCCGCGCTATTATCAACCGGAGATAAGAGACTTTTAAATATGTTTCATGAAACAACGATTCCGACGAATTACGTTTGCAATGTCATTAAACTTTGTACTGTATAATCTTTTTTAAAATACTTTTCCTTGCGTGGATGTCCGCAGACTACGTGGCAAAAGTTGCAACTGAACGGAGTTCTGCGATTCGCTTGCAATTGCTCCGGTTGACGGTACAAAGCGTTGCGAAACGACAGAAGGAAATTCGAGATGAAATAAGTACAAGTCAAAGAAGCCGATAGAACAAATATTTCATGGTAATTATCGATGAAAAGCGATGATTACGTCGTTGCACTTTTAACTCTCAGATGTTTTTGATGATTTTATAAACGATCTTGCCTGAAATTATTAACGCTAGATTTACGGACCACGTCAATTTAAATTATTACATTGAATTTTGTAAACATTATTTGGTACACGTTTATGTTGATTTTGAGCGAAATTTTTCTACGAACAATCGAATAAGCTGTTCAATAAATGTCCGTGAACCTGGCGTTAAAGTTCTACGAGACATGTTAATCTCATTACTAGACCTAATGTGATCCACTAGCAAACGCAATTAGGGTAAGTTGGAGTGAGATGACCGACTTTAAACAAAAACTGTTACGTCATAAATATGATTAATACAAAGGAAATATATTTGTGACAGTAAATATATATAAGAAAAATAGTTCAATGGACCTCTCGGAAAGATAGTAAGATACTAAGATAATAAAATATTAAGATACTAAAATACTAAGATACTAAGATACTATTCACAATTGAAAATACAGATATTTCATCATCTAAATGAGATTAGGCCATTTCACTCGAAATTATCCTAGCAATAGAAAAAGTAAGAAATTAAAAGAAGTTTTTGAAAATCTAGGTCAAAGTAGACCGAGTCACCGCTGACGAAGGGTTAAAGGTCCAAGACTCCAGATCACCCATATCGATCCACGTCGATCATTACAAATCGTGCGTACACTTAGCACGCTGCCAACGCATCGCGAACTACCATTCTCCCATTCACGACCGCCATACTCGAATAGAAATTACTTTAAACTTTAAGGTCGATCACCTGCTTTTTTTTAACAAAATATATTACATGCTACAGTGTATTCTTATTCTACTCTTATTTCATATATTGTAACTAGATGTGTATCTAAACATAGCGGTACAAAAAGGAGGAAAAACGCGAACAAAAATCAAATAAATTAATACAACTTAACGTTACGATGTTCGATTGCTTCGTCATGTCACGATGCACAGTTTCCGCATAATATTGATAGAAACCTCCTGCGGCAAAGAGAAACAAGTTTTTTTTCCGTTAGACTCGTTGTAGACATTATTGTGTTTTCTTTTTACTTAAGGAATTTATTGTTTCGAAAGAGATATATTGGATTTTTCATCTTCCTTGCGATGCTTAGAATATTTCTGTTGTACGATTTCGTGTATCATATAAGCAAATTAGGGTTCAATCGTTTAATTTCTATTGTTAGCGAAGCAACAATCTCGAAACAATAGATTTCTGTGATAAAAGTATTTTTGAAAGATACCTTCACGTGTAATATCTTATTTTTATGACGTACCTTCTGGTCTTCGCGTTTGCGTTACCATTTTTCTTCCTGTTTCCCCTTTTGTCTTCCTGCGAAGAAAAGTATATTTGTTTATTACACTTTCTGATTTAGTTACTAAATAGTTATTATATTTTTGGTTAAATGCCGGTTGGAAGATACATGTACTATGGTTAGCAACAATTAACAATTTAAAACCATGATTTTCAAGTATGCAATATTTAGTTCAAATTTGATAGTATCTTTGTACCAATACGATTGATTAAATGATTCAGGTCTACTTTATTTAATTTACTTCAACCAACATAATGAGATACACCTTTTTATAAACGAACTGTAAATAGTAACCTATTTAATATTCTAAAAAATTGATCAATGTTTCCCTGTAGTTGGTTAAATGCAATTTGAAAAGTTTCGCATTTAAATATGAACTTCAATCATACTTCTACTAATTCTCCAATGAGGAAGTCCTTCAGCATGTGTTTCGCCTCCGAAGAATGGCCAAAGTCCTCGAAACCGGATGTCGCGTCTTGGCCAGCGTACTCATCGAGCAATTCCGGACCACCTGGATGCTGAAATGAAACGTCACAACCTGATGAAGACTGGTTTCTTCATTTAAAACCGAATCTGAACGTAAACTAGAATCTAACTTTGAACTTGAACTAGAATTACAGTCAATCGATTGTAATCGCTCAATAAAATTACCCGAAGATTTCAAGTTTCAATTGAATTCAGCCGAAGTTCCGTGCATCTACTTAAAAATTCATCCAAGCAGAAAGATCAAACGAATGAATTTTAATGTTTTGTCACTAGAATTTCGAAACATTCGCGAAACGTAGTGATCTGGATCTACGGATGATTCCGTTACGAGATACCAGATTATCATAGATTCCAATACGATGATTTGCTCTAGCATCCATACCTCAGCTTTGTATTTGGTCACGTCGTACACCATATCGTGGATCACGAGCCACGTCTCAGCTCCGTCTCTCCCATCCTTTTTCGCCACATCCTTCAAAGTGTATCTCGTCAACTCGGTCATTTCGATTTACGAAAATGTTCAGAACGCACTAGCAGAACTTTCGAATTCTAACGGATAGATCGTTGGATCACGGTTAACCGGTGCACCGAGCACGATCGCGGCGTCTGCGGCTCCTTTCGTTCCAGAGCGAAGAAGATCGTTCGACTGGCAGTCTCGCGGGAACAATGAAACTAATAACCGAACCAAGGCGACTGATAACGAGGACCGTAATGAATGTCACATATGTAGATAAACAGAGATAACGGGCGTCACGTACCAGATTACGGATTGAATCCGGGATTTCTACAGGGAAGTAACGCGCGGCTGGCGTCGCTATTTATTGACCGATACGGTGCATCACAGGGAATCCCCCCGGGGAACCAGCGTTGAGAGTAATTGTGAGCCGTTACGAAATAATTCGTATTTCCCGTTGAAACGGAATATTCGATTTTCTCAATACTTCCGCGTCCAATTTTTGGAATGATCGAAAAGACAGTCAAATTGACCTTTAATTATGTAATAATCATGTTACCTAACGATTTTAATAGTTCCTACTTCAACTATGTTAACACTTTGGCTGCACGTCACCCGAATTCGGGTGACACCATTGTTTATATAAACTTAAACATTAATTTTTTTGGTGACGTAATGAACGAACCGAATTCTGTTATGAAGAATATTGACCTTTTAGTTTCAGCTTTATTAAGAGAATTGCTTCGATTGCGTAGGAGTTTCGATGTATGTTTACTTGGCAGTGTTAATAATTTAATAATAAGTAACTACTTTAATCATTGAGCAATAAATGAAATCAGGAATGGCTGATTTTGGATCATTTGGCAGTTCTAGTGTTAAATCAGACTTGAAACTTTAAGTGTTGCATGATTCAGATAAAGTTTCGTTTTCGAGTTGCAAATTGATTACTTTCATAAATAAGTTTACATGTGTTGCAGATCTTATATGCAATTTCAAATAATTTGCACATCGAAGTTGAATTTTCTATCCTGGAATTGAAGGATCACGCGTGTTACACGTGTACTTGACTGATAGATTCTGTAACGAACAACAGTCCACGAATTTGAATCACAAATTCCGCCTAGAATTGGAATTCTAACGATTCATTTGAAATTTGAACTTGAATTACTATATAGGCCGTGAACGCAAATTGATATCGATGCATTTTCAGGGACACTGTATGGTCTGGGATAATAATAAGCCTCAGTGATGAATGAAACCGATGGTCCTTTATATTAACATGAATAACTTGTAAGCCATTTAATTTCGCTCTATTAAGACTGATCGTTGGAAAGAAAAAGATTAATAAGATTATTGCTTTCTATAAAAAATCGAACGGTTTCAGTTCGAACGAGATAAGAAAATGGATGATGCACCTGTTATCTGATGTTCAAGAGCAGACAGATCATCGTCAACTCTTTCTTCATGCGAAAATGTACAACAATTAATTATGTACACTGTTATTCGAAAGTATTAAGGGATTCGTTGGTTTCATAAGAAAATGTACTGTTTAATCGATTTTATATAACCATCACACATTTCTCCAATATTTTACTAACAAGAACAGATACTCTCGTACATGCAGCTGATAATTACATAATTGCCTTTTTCATACATTATATGTGTATGTGTGTAAATTAAAAACATGTGTTGTATCCGTGGTATTGTGTAACTTCAATCCCATGTTCTCGCAGACTGATTCCTCGAATATAATAATTTTAATCGTTTAACTGAACTTTTTTGAGCTTTAGGGAAGCACATTGTAGCATGCAAGTAAAACTAATAATTTGAAAAATAATTTTGGTCACTTGACATTTTTCTGATATAAATGATTGCAAAATAAGGGAACTGAAATTAGTTTATTTGACTGGTACGGCAATTTTATACATCAAATATTGCAATATTGCAATTGATTTAACATAAATTTCTGATAGCCCAAAGAACTATTCAAGATAAAAAACTTGTAAAATTTGTAAGTCGTGTAAATTTTGGCAATCTAATAATTTCTTCGATTCCTCGATGTATATGGCAAAAACCGTAAAGGTGGATTACAAAACCACATTTCACAATATTCATTTGCACAATTTTCCGGTCGTCTGAGGCGCGTAAAACGTTGAACTGATAGCACGGTAAGCTTAGAGTTTCCGCGAAGATTCTATTTATTATTTTTTATGATATCACTCATAAATGCTAAATTGATTCCTGATAAAGAAACAAATGTCGGTCATTGTCAGTAGATAATCGTGGAGATCAATTGTGTAAAGATATAACACTAAATCACAGCACGGGATCGTCGATTAATTATTTATAGAGAATTACACGCGAAGAAATGAAATTAGAGTAAATATTAATTACTAATCCCATTACGAATTGAAAATTGAATATCATACGATTATTTATGATCGACCGTACAATTGTGCGTAATTACCGACGAGCTCTCATCAGTGGTTTAATTAGTTGCCACAAAGAAATTTGCACGAGACGAATGTAAAACAAAAATTGTTAATAAATTCGACGAAATAAAGGAAGAATGTGTGATTATATTTATATTTCGATTCGATTCAACGTCGCTTCGAGTTTTAGAGTATTTGATATTAATTTCAAAAAACCAATCATGAGTAATTAGATAAGTAGAATAATGAACAAATCAGATACATATATTTTCCTTTATTTAAAAGTCTACGCACACACTTTTCACGTTGCAGTCTTATATCATTAGTAGTTGACCGTTCGAGTCGGATAGAGTCCGCTAGTGTATCGGGGCGTTCTTAACGTTGTCGGTAGTTCAGAACAGTAGCAGAAAAATACATTGTATGCACAGTCGGTACATATCATAAGCCTGTATCTGTGAATACCGCTTCAAGTTATTCGCCTTCAGAAATAGATGTCAGTACTGGGAAATTCGAGTATTTAACGATATAACAATTTTTATGTAGCCACAATAATAGCAAGGTATTTGGTCTATTGCTATATCTCGTCTACAACATTACTGTCTCAAAAAATGGCGCTTCTAAACTGTATATATTAAGTATAAGATCTATAATCTCACATTTCCATTGCCGATACTTCGTACGAGCGAACGGTGAATGAAAAGAGACCAATTAAAATTGGTAAAACGTTTATTAACTATTTAAAAACGATGAAACAAGGTGAACATGAGATTGACAATTCAATAAGTAATATTATTAAATAGACTATAGAGGTGTATAATAAGTGTCTGTAGTAATTATTCTCTTTATACGTTCCTTTACATCGAGACAGACGTCATTCTCCTCGTCGTTACCGTCATACAATTTTTTTTTCTTCGTTTTCAAACATTTTCATCGCGTTCTCTTAACTTCGACGAAGTCTACCGAGCTCTCTCTCTCTCTCTCTCTCTCTCTCTCTTTTTCTCTCTTGAGGCACGATCTGTGCGGATCATGGCGGCGTATCCCGCCATATTACATTCGACTCCCCTCAAAGTATAATACGACGTCGTT